CCCACAATGCCGATAAAGTTCTAGGCAATCATAGGAGAGAGTCACAGGCATGATCAATTGCCAGAGTAATTGCGCAGATAGCCATCGCCATGGAGAGTACAGAGCAGGGAGAGTCAGAGGCAGGGAGATTGCACAAAGATTGATGGGCTGCAGGCAGAATGGCGTGTGGGTCCAAATTCTGCCACTGACACCATGTGACCTTGAAAGTGTGCTTTCCCTTCTCTGCAGTGGCTCTATCTGTAGAGGGAGGGGTTGTAGAGAGAAGTTACTGAGCTCCCCTCCAGCTCTGATATTCCCAGTCGCTTAGGGCTACGCTGGTCAGGAAGGTTGTAGGAAGAGGTGAGCCATGAGCCTTGCTCACTGGTGCAATCCAGAACAAAACTGGGGCTGCAAGAAGTGCGTGCCTCCGCAACTCACCCCTTTCCGCCACCCCCCAGCGGTATCTGCTGATGGCTCCCATGACCCATCTAGATAATGCAACTATACATGTAAACAGGAATTTCCCACTGACCAAGCCCCGTACACACTCCCATGTATCCTGTGCCCTCGCGATAACCTTATGGGCTAGGATGGGCAAGGCAGATCTTACTACCCTGATTTCAAAACTCGAAGGAGAGAGGGACTCACCCAAGGTCCTGCTAGGAAGTAGGGCCAGAGCAGAGTGGGGCTCAGGAGAGGAATGAGGTGCTTCATGTATCTCCAAGTGGGGTTCACTCACTCCTTCCGTCCGTCAGTCACCCTCCAGTGTCCCCTCAGATGCATAGTGGCCACGCTCTTATTTCGGGATCCTGCAGGCAGCCACTTTGATTTGCTGCTAATTCTTTATTTTAAAAAGATTCACAACTCAATTACATCAGGTAACAATGGCTCACAGTCAATAATACAAAGCGCAAACCCAATAAACATCCATTCTGACCAGGGGGCATGGATTTAGATGAGGAAAAACAAAAAAATTACAGCATCAGCTCGTCAAGAACAGTATCTTGTAATTTCCAGTAAATTGGAATCACTGCAAGTCATTTTCCCCACTTGAGTGGCAGGTATATTAATTTGTTGTCGTTTGTCAACCATCAAAAATAAATTGTTTACAAGAGATGGGGGGGCAGCAAGCTTCGGAGAGTCAGGCTGAGGTTATTATTCTGGCACGAGTTTGTGTGACATGCTTCAGATGACTCGGGGGTCTTTAGAATTGCCAAGGCTGCCTGTGCCCCCACTGGTTCCCTACAAGGCGGGTCCTGGGTGAAACTGGACAGCCTTGACCCCAGTGCCCTACGGCCACACCCTGTTCTCCAGAAATAGGGGCCTCATTCATTCACTTGCTTCCCAGAAGTCACCCCCAGCAGAGCAGTACATAGGCTCACCCACAGGGATGCGTCAGAACCGCAGCTGCTGTTTGGTGCTCGCTGACTACCCTCCGGGCGCTGTATTAGGCCCTTTACAGGCATTATCTCATTTAATTCAAACAACAACGTTTTGAGGTAGATGTTTTACCTCCATTTTGTGGATAGGGAAAGTGGAGATCAAAGACGGTAAATAGCCTACCCAAAAGTCACACAGCCAATGAGTAACGCTGGCAGGACTGGGGCCGGGGCCAGGAGAGGTAAGCAAGGTGCCTCAGACACCATATGTAAGGGTCAGCGAAGTGCAGGGTCAGCACCTGGGGAGGGGAGCCTCACCCATTCCTGGCGTGGAGTAACAGCTTGGATTTGGATCCAGGTCTGATTGCATTCAATCTTTTGCATTCATGCTTTTCTCACTGTGGCACAGCTCACTCCAGTGATCAGCATTGTAGCAGCAACTCAAAGCTTCCAAAGGAGGGCAGCTCCTTGGTGGGACTTCAGGCCTCAGGGGGCTGATGAGGGAATCTCCTACAATTAGTCCAGGCAGGCTGTCGCCTGCTTCCCTGGCTTTAAGCCAGTCTTTAGTCCAGGGTGGAAATGCGGGGCTGAGGCCAGCACACAGGAAAGTGAAATCCGGCTGCTGACGGCCGGTTACCAGTTACCAGGCTCTACTGTCTACTCTGGAGAGCTAGCCCCAGATCTACCTTGCACCTGATTGCCAAGAGCTAGGTCAAGGCCTAGAAAGGGCCATAGTTCATAATGGGGGGCGGGGGGGGTGCAGGAGAAATACGGAAGAAGGACTAGGGAGGGAAATTGAGTCAAGAACAACTTCTAAAATATAATACTTTGGCTAAATTTATACATGTGCAAGAGTTCAGAATGATTCATAATGCATGCAGATTTATGCAAATAGTTATGCAAATGTGGCAGGATGGGACGCACAGGGTACCACTTACCTCTCAGCCACAGCACAAGTGGGCGGCACGAGGTCTCTGTCTCCGGCAGCAGTTTTCCAAGCAAACCACACCTTCAGGTTGACAGGATTTTCTCCTGCAACCTGACAAAGCCCCGAAACCAGAGAAGCGAGCAGGACTGAGGAGGGGGCCCAACCACATGGTATCCCTACATTCTACACAGACTGTCTCTGCATCCCCGCTGCCACCCACCCCTGCCCCAGGCTTGCCTTCTCTGGCCTAAAGAATTTTCTGCTGCTTTCCTCTCACCAATAAGCCTTCCTTTCCCCTCAGCCTTTTTTTTTTTTTTTTTTACAAATAGTTTATTGTCAAATTGGTTTCCATATAACACCCAGTGCTCACCCCCACAAGTGGCCTCCTCCATGCCCATCTCCCCCCCTCCCCCCACATCCATCAGTCCTCAGTTTGTTTCTCAGCATTCAAGAGTCTCTCGTGGTTTGCCTCCCTCCCTTTCCCCCACCATTTCCCCCCTCCCTCAGCCTTTTAAGTGTCCTTGCTACCTTCTCCATTTCTAAGGAGTCAGGAATGAGGATAGGCCAGTAGCTTCTCAGGCCACCTGGCAGCTGCATGTCAGAGAGGAAATGGCCTCTTCGAGGGAAATGTGAGGGTTTGGACCAGGGTCTGCCACTGTCTGGCTCTGTAGCCTCAGATGAGTTACTTAATCCCTCTGAACCTCAGTGTCCTCATCTGTCAAATGAATTACTAACAGCTACTATTTATGGCTATGGACGGGAGGATGTCACTGCACTCACGGCTGCCACCCTGTGGGATGCTCAGGAATTAACCCCTACCTCCCTCGGCCGCCCTAGGTCCTCTTCCTTCCCCACCCAGCCGCCCTGCTACAGTCACACATACCATAGGCTTTCCTGCCTCTTCACTTCCATTCACTTCGCATCTGTCTGACTCCTACCCTCCATCTCTTTCTGCTTGTCTGAGAGTCCTCCCCGTCCATCATCTCGGCCACCCCCAGTGCCACCAGAGCATGCCACTACTCTAATGTCTGTCACAGTCCTGTCTCCCTTCCCAGGCTCAGAACACCTGGTTGCCCTGACTTTGTGCAGAGATTTGCCACTTTCTCAGGGCTTTTAGCCATGATCTCTTTTTGACGTTAACCTCCCCTCTATCCTGTGAGTTCAGGAAAGAAGATACGGGCTTCATTTGACTACAGAAGAGACTAGGACTCTAAGAGGTTACACTGCTAGGAAACGGTCCACTCTGGTCGTAGAACTCAGAGCCTTCTGGTCCCTCCACTTTGTCTCCCTAATATAGCCACCTTTATGGTGAGACTTCTCTTTTCATAAGTAGGACTGTCTCTTCAGTTTCTTTGTGAAGCTCCATGGGGGTCTGCAGCCCATCTCCTGTCCCCTTATGCACACAGCCCTAAGCCATGTCAGCTTTCAGTGAGCTCCTATCAGCCTAGCCCCCCACGAGGTGAGCGACATCAGACTCTCCCTGGCATTCCCTGGAGACCTCAGTTCTTCACCCACCACATTTGCAATCAGCCAGCCCTCCAGGCTTCTCTCTGTGGAATGGGGCTTAGCTCTGCCTTAGGAGAGCCCCCGGGAGACCCTTCCCACGCTTGGAACATGGAACATTTCCTAGAATTACAGGTGGAGAAGCCATCTTAAAAACTGCCTTGCACCTCTCCCTGAACGCTTGTCACAAAGGACCTTGGATCTGAATGCACAGAGATGTGCAAACCTCCCACGTCCCTTTCCCGGGCAGATGATCTCGGGGGAGGCATTTGTAGCTGGTGTGTAGCTGTCTTCCAGACACGCTGTTTTCCTGGTAAGGGTCACCAGTTGAGTTCTTTTTCTCCCATCCTTGTTTGACTTCATCTCAACAACCTAAGAGGCAGCAGAAAAAATCCCACCACACCTCCCCCCGCCCCACTCTGTTTTTATTTATCATGATTGGTTGTTGGTTTTCTGCCCACACATTGCTCTAGAAAGAGTTACTAGTGGGATGGGAATAAACAGTCTGTGCTCAGAAACACTGCTCACTTCTCTCATTCCATGTGGGACCTACTTGTGTCTAGACCCGGTGAGGAATTGTGTGCCAAGTCAATTACTGCTACCTCCACCATTAATAATAATAATATATAAAAGAAGTTATAATCATATATATCACATAATATAATATAATAATATGTCATAACGGCTATTATAATAAATACTTATTATGTATCAGCCACAATTCTATGGCTACTTGTCTTAATTCCTTTACTCCTCACACACTCATGGGCTAAAAGGTAGGTCCTATTACTAGCCCCATTTTACAGATGTGGAACAGGACAGTTAAGTCACTTGTCTAAAGTCACTTGAGTCCTTTGATCTTAGACAAGGAGAGAAACCATAATGGAAAATCCCAGGCATTCAGGATTTCATCCTGCCAACACCCCACATTAGAACAGACTCTCCCTGCCTTCCCTCTCTCTTTCCCCCTTTCTCTCTCTCTTGCACCCCTTATTGGTTCTTTACCTTCCTAGCTCTGTGAATGAGGCAATTCCCTATCCCTCTCTGACCTTGACTGTCCTGTCCTGCCCATGGGGAAAAGAACCCCCCCGATCCCATGACCTGATGTGGGGGAGAACCCTCAGGACCACGATGGTGGTGCACTGAGCCCACTGGAAGCTGCTGGCTTGGAAGGAAGGGAGTGGGTCTTCATGTGCTCTGTTCTGTTGCAGCATCTCAGGCTACGGAGCTGCTGGCGGGAAAGGCGGGAAGAACACCATGATGCGGTCCCATGGCGTGTCTGTGCTGGGCATCTTCAACCTGGAGAAGGGTGACACGCTGTATATCCTGGTCGGACAACAGGGGGAAGACGCCTGCCCCAGCGTAAGTGCCCAGAGGCGGACCTCTCCCTCACTCTCATCAGGACCCGGGCAGGCCCTCACAGGGTATCTGGACACTCTCCTTCTGGGGGCTCATATTCAAAGGTGACAGGACTCACCCCTTGTCCTGCCTCGTTCTGCCTCATTCTGACCCCTCTGTTTCCCGGCCCATTTGGGTGTATGAGAAAGTAGGTGGTATGACTGTTGGGGTTTCACCTCCCCACAGGGACCAAGGCTGAGGCATGGGTTTCAAGAGGAACCCTTAAAACAAAGAACTGGATCCAGTGTGAATAGGCAAATGGTTGTTCTTCACAGCAGGCTACAAGTTGAAGTCCATTTCCTAAACTTTCTTGCTAGGAAACCAACGTCTTTAGCCCATTATTATAAACAGGAAAATACCAGTTTAAAATTTTTTAAGTTTATTTATGTATTTTGAGAGAGAGAGAGCAGGGGAGGGGCAGAGAGGAGAAAGAGAATCCCAGGCAGGCTCCGCATCATCATTATGGAGCCCAACATGGGGCTCGAATTTACAAACCATGAGATCATGACCTGAGCCGTAACCAAGAGTCAGATGCTTAACTGACTGAGCCACCCAGGCGCCCCAGGAAAATACCAGTTTAAACATTTTCTGCTCAGCTGTACATAACAGATTCATAGCCACACAATTGTGTATAAGTGCATAGGAAAAGTTCTGAAAGATACACATAACAGTGGTTGCTTCTGGGGAGGGGACTAGAGTCGGGGTTGCTTCATCAGTGATGTCTGATATTACAATTCATATAGTGTTTATTATTTGGGTGATTAAGACTAAAAAAAAAATTAAAGCCTAGACTCAGAGTCTAGAATATAGTGCAGTCCACTTTCCCCATTTTACAGATGAGAAGATAGAGACCACAGAGAGGAAGGGACTTTTCCAAAGCCACTCATAATGCAGCACAGAGTAGAGACTCTGGCTCTTGTTTGTGCTGTGCCCTGGGCTTGCTTGGGACTCGGTTTCTATGCCCCTTTCCCCTTTTTCACTTAGAGCCCATCGTCTGACAAGCCAGACTGCCATCTTCTGCAGTCCCAGGGACAGCCTGTCACTCTGGATTCTGACCCCACTGGGGTATCCACCTGTCAAGCAGGGAGCGCTCCATCAGCAGAACTCAGAAAGCTGGTAGTGGCCTAAAATTTCCAGGATGAGGAACACTCAAGACTAACAAAGCAGCAACCTCACAGACCCCTAGGACCCCAGCTGTTTGCCTCTCATCTGCGTTGGCGGAGACAGGAGCCTGGTGGTGCCGGCTCTCCTGGCAGGAACTCAGCACCATTAGATGCTAACCTTAGGTGCTCACCTGAAGCACAGCTTCCGCCCAGAGTGGGGCCAAGGCAGGGAGCAGGGTTCTAGTGCCCAGGACCCAGGGCCGCTTCTCCAAGAACGTATTCAAGAGTAGCCTTGGAGGACAGATGTGGGAACAGGGACTACACAGAAAGCAGTACAATTCCACAAAATAAATTCAAGACTCCTAAAAGCTGGGCCCCAGGCTGGGAACAGGGAGTAAAGCACAGCACCCATCCCCACCCCCACCTCACAGGGTTAAGACAAAGCAACCAGAGGAGGCTTAGCAGGTGCAATCTTGTGCATGAGAAATGTCTGGACTCCAACTTTTATTTAGCAACTATAATCAGGACTTTCCAACCTGATACAATATATTAAGTCATTAAATTACAGGCTGCTGTAATTTCCACAGGAATGTATTGAGCGCTAATGTAATTCTTTCATCTAAGCAGAAAGATTGCATTGACTTCTGCAAGGGACTTTTACTTGATTGGATTGTAATCAGTTATGTCTTTTCACAGGACCGAGTCCCTTTTTTTTTTTAATTCAATTGTAATCTACTTGCTCCTCAGGGTTGCTGCACTTTATCATTGTATTAATCAACCTACTTGCTCTCGAACTTTGTGAAATCACAGGGAGAGCTCTGAAGAAGCCCATTCTCAGCCAGGGACAGAGGGCAGCCCCCTCTGCTGGTGGGGCCAGGCATCGCAGGGGCGAGGGCTGGGATTAGTCCTGGAGCTTCCCTGGGACTCCACATCACAGGAGTCACTGGGAGAGAGGGAAAGAAAGACTGTTCACAGCCCTACCTCCATCTCCAGTCCTCTCCAGGCAGAAACATGGTGCCTAGAGAGGATCCTCTAAAGAATGGAGTGCACTGTAAGAATGAGACTGCAGGCTTTGGCAGGTTTCCCGGAGCAATGGCACATCTCTATGGATCTGTGCTTCCTTTGTGCGTGACCGCACCTGAGCCTGGGGTGGGCTCCAGCTGCTGGAAACCGCCTCAGCTCCTGCTTCTCCATTTCCTCCCGAGCCTCATCTGGTGGCATGACCACCAGATCTGGTGGCATGGGTCTCTCGACATCAGCAGTGGTGACATTTTGGGACAGGTGGGTCTTTGTTCGGGAGAGGGTGTGCAATCATAGGCACTGTAGGCTCTTGAGTAGCATCTCTGACCTCTACCCACCTGATGCCAGCAGCATCCCCCAGTACTGACCATCAGAAATGTGTGCAGACATTGCCAGATGTCCCCAAGTCAGCAAAACCACTGGCGTAAATTTTACATGCCACAACTATCATCACTTGCAAGGCGAATACTGTGAGGGGTCAGCCCACACCCAGATAGCCCCCAGTTTATTCATATGTATTCAGCAAATATCTATCAAGGGCCTTCGTTGTGCCAGTCACTGCTCTAGCAACTTGAGATATATCCATGAGCAAAAGAAAGATCTTTGCCCGTTGGCGGGAGGAGGGATGAACAATGGCTAGTACACATCAGTCAGTCAGAACACCCGGAAGTGAAAGTGTTCCAGTGAACAGAAGGAGGGTAAAAAGAGTCAGGTGTGTAGGACAGGTTGCAATTATACATAGGGTGGTCGAGGGAAGCCTGTTGGACAAATGACAGCTGAGCAGAGTCCTGAAACGGATGGAACCAGGAAAATATCTGGGGATGCCAGCCAAGCAGATGCTAGGTCCCTGAGGTGAGAGAGTGCCTGATGTGCTCCCAAAATAACCAGGGTGAGTGAGGGGAGCAAGGGAAGAGTAGGTGAGAGATGAGGTGATCAGGTCACCATAAGGACATTTTTAAGCCACAGGAGGGTTTTGAACCTATGGGTGGGAGTGAGGCAGGATAAGGAGCTGCTGTGATTTGCATATGGTAAGACTCACCCTGGCTATAGAGTAAATAGCCCACTTTGGCCCGAGGGAAGGATCAGTGTGATAAATTCAGTGGTTACTACATTAGTCCAGGCAAGAGTTGATGGTGACTTGGACAAAGACGGCAACAGTAGCTGAACTGTGGGCATATTTGGAATACAAAATCAAAAGGGATTTCCTGCCCAACTAGATGAAGAACTGAGACAGAGAAAGCATCAAGGACGACTCCACGAATCGCACCTAAGCCACGGGAAGGAGGGAGCTGCTGTCACTTGAGCCAGGAATGCTGTAGAAGGAGCTTGGGGTCAAAGTTAGGAGAGGTCTGGTGGACAGCCAGGTGGAGATGTCCAGTAGCCATGGAGATGGGTCACTGGACTCAGGGAGTGAGGTCTAGAGTGCAGATAGAAATTTGGGAGAAGTCAGCATAAAATCGAGCCAGGATGAGATTGACTAGGGAGCAGTACTGATTAAGAGGAAGACCAAGGACTGAGCCCTGGGGACCCCAACATTAAGAGGTTAAAGAAAAGAAGAGCAGAGGATGCTGAGGTGAAGGAGCCATGGAGGTCAGAGGAGATTCCAGAGGGGGTGGTCTCCTGGAAGTCAGGTGAAGAAAGTCTATCATGGAGACATGAACAAGTCCGCCAAATGCTGCTGCTGGCTCCAGCAAGAGGCAGAGTGAGAACCCACTCTTCTTCGCAGCCCACCCAATTTAAAGGAGGTGCCCAGGGACAATGGGGGATGGGCATGAGTCTGGGCTCCAGTTAGACGAAAGGCCATCCCCTAGCCCACCGGCTCCCTCCTTCCCACTCCTGCAACCTCCAGCCACCTACAGATTCTGTTCATAGGAAGAGGGCATTCCCAAAGAATGGATGCCCCACTGCTGCAGGGCAGAGAGGAGGAAGAAAGCAGGGTCTGAGGGGATAGAACTTCTTAGCATCACTGGTTCAGACTGGGCAGCCCCTCGATTTACACAGGAGGAAGCGGGGCCAGGGAGGTGAGATGCTTCACCCAACGTGGCTCAGCAAATCTCCAGCAGAGCCAGTCAAGAAGCCGGATTGGACCCCGTATTTTGTGCTCTGCTCTGCCCAGCAGACAGGCCACATTTGGGCCCGCTGCCCCCCAGGCTCAGCCCTCACGGAATGCCCCTGCCATCTCATGCCCACCTCGGGCAGCAGTTAGTGGGGTTTCCTTGCAGCCCTGCCCCCCCACCCCCCACCTGGACAGCCCTGCACACACACAGGAGAAATGTCAGCTCTCGGCAAGAGCAATCCAGAAGCTTCCACCCACACTAAATCCACTTTAAAAAATATCAAATTATTTCCATCATTAAGTCCAAAATGCCATAAAACAAATTGCATCTCAGCTATTTATCTGGAAATTTCTCTAGTACTCATTGCCAGCACCCCTGAGTGCTTTAGCATAAGGAGTGGCTCAAGATGAATTGCCACGTCCACTGGCTGGTTACACAGCAGCGTTCAATGGAAATGTGATGTTTTATTGGCCTTGTTTCTAATAAGTGAGAGGAAAGCCATTTCCCCCCTGAAGTTGGGTGGATGTTTGGAGCGTTCTTCTTAGCCGCTGTGCCCGATGAGCAGGCTGGATCTTCCTGCTACACTCTTAATTCAGGGATTCTAGAATTCTGGGTCACAAGGATTTTCCGCACATACCAAGGGACTCCCAGGTGCCTGGGCCCATTCCAGGACCACATGCAGGCCCAGAGGGAATCTATATAAAATAACTGCAGCCGTTTATTCAGTCCCTAACTTGTGAGACACTCTCCTAGACACCTGTCTGTACCATCCCATCCTGTACCTGCAGGTCAGAGCGCCGGACCACCTCCTCCACAGTCACTGATTCCTGGGGTCACACCCCATTCTCCAGGGTGGACACAGAGGGCTCCATTTAAAGTTGTGCCAGAGTATTTCTGGAGGCACGAAGTGGGACATTAGATGGGAGGAAAGAGATGTCCCCCAAAAGGAGAAATGACTTTACCATAGATGGACTGGGGATCAAATCTGAGCCTGGCCTTATACTGCTGTGTTCTTTTTCCATGATGCTTCAAAACTGCAGCTTCTCAAAAAACAACTTAAATGGCTCACAGCTGCCTAGAGTATGAAGTCTGGTTGGATTCAAGGCTTCTGGACATTATCTGACTGTCCAGTTGAATTCCCTTACTCGCTCTCATTTACACTTCCTCCATGCTATCTCCCCACCTAGGGCCTTTGCCATCCCTCTTCAGAGTCCAGAGGACCTAAGGTGGACTTTTCTGAGCCAAAGAGACTCCTTGTGCTTTTCTTCAGATTCCCCCTTCACCTCCTTCTCTCTGGGCTCATGCTGCTCTCTTCCCCTAGAATGTCCTAACTTTCCCCATTCTCTGTTTTAAATCTCCCTATGTTTCAAGGCCTAACTAAACACCACCTCCTACAGGCAGTCCTCCTTGATCGCCAGTCAGCAACAAAATCACTCTCCCTCCCCCAACTTCCCATGCATTTTCCAGCAAAGCTATCCTGTGGTCCTTCTCTACACCCTAGTGACAGTTACCTGCATATAGATTTTTTTCTCTCTTCAACTCAACTGTAAGCTATTTGAGAGGTCGTCAGAGCCTGTCATTAAGGATAGAAAGTGTCTGTCTGCTGGGCTGTAGAGAACCTTGGACACAAATGTGAGGTGCTTTTTGTTCCTACAGACAAACCGATTAATCCAGAAAGTCTGCATTGGCGAGAACAACGTGATAGAAGAAGAAATCCGCGTGAACAGGAGTGTGCATGAGTGGGCAGGAGGGGGCGGAGGAGGGGGCGGAGCCACCTACGTATTTAAGGTAAGGTCAGCTGTGCCAGCTCCCCACGGGCGGTAACGTCCATGCGTCATGGACCCATCTGGGTGGGTGGGGATGAAACACCTAGGAGTCCTCAGCCCCATTTGAAGATGAGCAAATCGAGGCCCAGAGGGACATAGGGGTCCCTGCCTGTCTGAGAGAGGCAGGTGCTTCTCTCCTGAGGTCACCAGGCGGCCCCTGCCTCAGAGTTCAGAGGGTCCCCTGATACCCTCCTCTGTCCTAAGGTGGGCTTTTCTGACATGATGAAGCCCAGGCCAAGGCTTCTTGCTCGGTCCTCCCGCCAGGACCGTGATGCCAAGGGCTTAATACTGGAGTTGTGGAGGTCAAAGCCAGAAACCCTGGAGAGTGAGGAGGAAGTGGGAGCAGAGAGACCACCACTCAGCCCTCTGAGGCTAGTGTGAGAAGCTTCAGGAAAACCTCCATCCCCCCCATCCTGGTGTTGGTATATTTATATCTCCCAGTGCTTTGGCTTCTCTCATTGGACCCTCACTGTCTCAGGAGCTAGGGGTGGGGGTGAAAGCTGATGGGCCGCGGTAACATGAGGTCAGAGCCCTCAGACCACCAAGATGTCACCCACGGCCCAGCAAATGCTCAGACACTTTAAACACTACAGTGGCTCGGGGTCCCCACAGTGGAAGCCCAGCTCTGTTTCTCAGTCTCTGAACATCTCCCTGGGTAGATGAAGGATGGCGTTCCAGTGCCCCTGATCATTGCAGCCGGCGGTGGCGGCAGGGCCTACGGGGCCAAGACAGACACATTCCACCCAGAGAGACTGGAGAATAACTCCTCGGTTCTGGGGCTGAATGGCAATTCCGGAGCCGCAGGTAAGGTACCGCAAGCCCACCCCTTCCCAGACGTGCCCCCCCAGACCGTAAGAGCTTCGGCTCGGCCAGTCACCATTGCCTCTGCATCTTGGTTGCTGGGAGCTCTGGATATTGGTAGCAATATCCAGGAAGGAAGGGCAGACCACAGCTTAGGGACCTGGAGTCGTCTTTGCTGACGCGGGGTTTGGATTGCAGGCCACTGAGAAAAGGAGACAGGGCAGCATTTGTACAGGCAGCCCAGCCTCCCTGAGTTTCATCAGATGCAACTGGACTTGAGCAGATGGCAGAAGTATGGACAGAGTCAGGGCCTCTCTCCCCCCTCCCCCCGCCAACCCCAAGGCCCTCTGGTCTGAGCCTCCAAGCCCTGGGCTACCAGATCACACATCCCGCTGGAAAATCTCTTTCTGGTCTCCACGGTTTGGCAATCCGTGCTCATTAGTGAGAGCCAGCCACACAGAAATAGGAGACAGACATTGACGCTGTGTCTGAAGAGAAAATGCAGTTCATTTTTGTATTTTCTTTTCTCCACAATCAGACCGAGGATCACGGAAGGCATTTAAGATTTGAGATTAATGAAAACAAGTACTCGAACTTTCCCTGCAAGCGAGAGATGGCTAGAAAACAAAGAAGAGTGGAAATAGGGCGTGGGTCCTCGGTGAGGACCACCCAGCCGTATTCACGGCGCCCCTTGAGCCAGGGCAGCTGCTAATAACTCTCCAAGCACTCCATTGCCGGCGCGCTTCTCACAGCCACCCACGGGGTTGTCAAGTTGTACTATTATTCCCGCTTTACGGAAGCCTCAATGAGCTCATAGAGTTGGTGGATATTCTTTTCTCCTCATAGCCAATCTATTTCGTATGCAGTCCAGTTTTTAAAACATTGCTGTGGTTGATTTGTTTTTCTCTCTATGCCCATTGTTTTCTTTTCTGCACATTTGCTTAAAAGCTGTAAGACGGAGTGAGGGATTAGAAACTGTCTCGGCCGGGGAATCCTGCAGAGCATAAGGGTAGAGTAGCAAGTGCAGGGGAAGGAGGGAGGGCACAGTGCCAGGTCATCCTAATGTATTTGCTATGCTCCTGTCCCCCACTTCAGGTCCCTAAGGAAGCTGGAGGGCCTTCCCTTTGCCACGAGGTGTCAGTGACCCTGAAAGGCCCACATTCTGCCCTCCAGCTGGAGGAAAGGAAGCCAGCACCTAAAACCCAAGCAACATGCTACATCCTGCAGCTTTCAGAGCTGACTTGACTGGGGGCCTTGATTCAGCTCTGATTGCCCCTGTGCTAGACTGAGCTTGTTCCTGACCTTGGTCTCCTTTCCTAAAACCCAGCTGCCTCTCTCTAGCACAGTAGTGATCTCCCGCTGCCTCTCGCCCTGTAGATGTCCCTCTGCTGCCCCCTCGGGGCCCAGAAGAACCTCTGCCACTCATTCTTCCAGAAGGCGCTTCCGGGCCAGTTACCCCTCATGGTTCCCCACACCCACACACTGCTGTTTCTCCAGGTCCTCATCTCCCATCATCTGCTGGAACAGAAAGGACTTTGGGGTCTTTTGGAGTAGAGTGCCTGTCGAAATATCTTACAAAACAATGTAGGGGGAGAGAATGGGGGTCCTGGAATCTCAGGGGCCAGCAGAAGAGTTTGATTATAATCAGCCTGTGGCCTTAAGCTATAATTGCGTTCAACCTCAGTTCTGTAAATAGCATTTCCTTTGCAAGAGTTCAGAGTAGCCCCAGACATTAGGAAGCCCAGCTCCAGTGGTGGCTGTCTTCACAAGGGTACTGCCCATCCCTTCCCCCAACTCCTCCCCCCCACCCCCCGCCATTCACCTTTCCTGCCCTTGACCTTGGAGCAGCTGCTTAGAAAGAATCAGGCAAGACACTGCCTAAGCTTCAGAGTGTGAGGCCCTGTGCACACACGTGTTCACCTCATGCCCAACAATCCCTACGCGTTGTGGTTTCTGAAACATTTTGCATGTCTTTGTCTCCTTTGGTTCCAAACCTCAACCCTATGGGGCAGGTCTTATTATCCCCAAGTCACAGGTGAGGAATCTGAGGCTCAGAATGGAGAAGTTCTTGCCCAGGAGACAATAAAGCCCATGGGTTTGTCTGGCCTAATCCAGGGTTCCTGCAGAGGAACGTCACTGCAGCGACCTCAGCCTGGGCTCTGACGGTTGGCTGCCTGAGGACTGGTGGGTCTCGGTTCTTGTTGGATGGGAAGCACTAATGAAACAAAGTCCCGGCACTTTCAGGGATTGGGGCATGGAAAAAAGGCAGAGGAGTGAGTTTAGCTGTCATACTGCCTGCCCCCTCCTCCCCCATCCCTAACAAAGCACACTCCTCAACTTTTAATCCAAAGGCATGATGGGTAGCAGGAGTACGAAGCACGGTCCCATCTGGTACACGCGGCTGTGGCCAAAGCAGGTCTCACTAGGGCAAAGGGCACGGCTCCTGGTTTTCCAGCTGTGGGCTCGGAAGCCCCCAGACCCCGCCGGGCACTGGAGCGGGAGCAGGCATCCTCGGAGCACAGCGCGTCCTTCTCCTCGCCTGGCCAGCATCCTCACGTGGGGGTTTCTCCATCTCTCCCGCAGGTGGTGGAGGTGGCTGGAATGATAACACTTCCCTGCTCTGGTCTGGAAAATCTTTGCTGGAGGGTGCCACCGGAGGACATTCCTGCCCCCAGGCCATGAAGAAGTGGGGGTGGGAGACAAGAGGGGGTTTCGGAGGGGGTGGAGGGGGGTGCTCCTCAGGTGGAGGAGGCGGAGGATATATAGGTAAAGATGATTCGTGTTCAAGGTGTCACTCCCTTCCCTCTTAGTCCTAGGTACTCCCGGTCCTCTCCCTGGCCCTCACCTGCCCCTCCCCCCGCCCACCCCACATGTGGACTGTGATGTCACCGTGCACGCCTTCCTCTCAGCCCCATGGGGCCAGCCAGAGGCAGGGTGTTGGCTTTCGAGCCAGCATCCTGCCTCGAGGCTTCAATAGCAACAGCTTCAAGATCTCATGTGTGCTTGATTTCCCTCTCCTCCAAAACCAGTGATAAAGGGGCTTTGATTTCCCGGACTGTTCTCTGAGCCACTCCCCCAGGTCGTGCTGGCATGAGAACCTCGGAGGCCAGACTCCCCAGCCCCGTGCCTCCCTTTGGATGGCCTGGCCTGTGTCTTCCCTTTCCGGCCCCAGCCCACCAGCTTCCAGAACCCCTCTCCATGCTGAGGGGGCAGCCCCAGCCCAGCCCTTCAGCCGGCAGCCGGCCACTGGCCCCAGCCCTCCTCCGAGCTTCAGAACAGAGCAGAATAGCCTTCTGAAGCTGAGCGGCTGGGAGGCGGCGGCTCCACCCTCCCACAGATTAGGACACAATGCATGCATGCACTGTGATGTTCTGTCTGTTTTGCTTTACGCTGTGTGTAAGATGCTCGTGTTAACCGGATGCTCTTTTTTCCCAGACTCTGGGTGGGTGGGAGGAGCCTGAGGGGGGAGCCCAAAGATAACCCAGCCCAGCTGAAAGGAGGGACAGGAGCCTAACGGCACAGGGGCCCATCCCCCCATGTCCAAACCCTTACACGATGGGACTGGAGAGCAACTCCTCAGTGCCACTGCCCTGGCCAGCCCTGGAAGAGGTGTCGAGGGACTCATCCAGCCTGGGGACACTAGACCTCCTCTGACTCTTGTTCACAGGAACTGCTTCCTAGCAGCCCCGTGCAGTGGTGGGGACTCCCCGGTGGGAGCTGGCCTAGACCTGGAGGGAGAGTGGGCCTCACACCCAGCATCTACCTGAGCCAAACCCCAAGCGTAGCCCCTGTGCTCCGGGCCTCCCTTCCCTCCCCGCCGCCCCGCCCCGAGGCCCCTCACTACCCCGAGGCCCCTGCATGCCCCGCTGATGCACAGATGTGTTGAGACTTGAGCCCACGCCTCTCTGCGTTAAACTCTTCTCTGGTTTGGCACAGGCGGCAACGCGGCCTCAAACAATGACCCCGAGATGGACGGGGAGGATGGGGTTTCCTTCATCAGTCCTCTGGGCATCCTGTACACCCCAGCTTTAAAAGGTATCCCCTCTGCCACGAGGCAGAACCGACCTCCTTGGGCCAGCTCTCCCACCCAGATAAAACCTCAGGCCTACTGACATAAGCCAATGTACAAGGGCATGATTATGGGTCCCTTACAGGCAAGTCTTCCTACTGCTCATCTGAGCACATTTTCTGGAAGTCAGAATGTGTGGTCTGATATGTACTTGGAGGTGGAAGACTGGCTTCCAGACAGGCGGGACCTAGAAAATGCAGCAGTAATAGTCCCTTACCTGTGCCAGCCAACCTGAGGGTCATGCACTTGGACCTTCCCGTCTGCCTACAAAAATGTAGCCACGTGTCCTCTGAGCTCCATCAGATGCGTCAGGGACTTCCCTACACACAGTTGGCACTTCAGTGACATCCATGGTAGGAACAGGGACCAGAAAACCAGCACTGACCAGCTGGAGATAAAACACCGAGGCCGGGAGCGGGTGCAGGGAGGTCTTTGCTGCCTCAGCCTGAGGCTGATCCTCCCTTCTTGTCACCAGTGATGGAGGGCCATGGGGAGGTGAATATTAAGCATTACCTAAACTGCAGCCACTGTGAGGTAGATGAGTGCCACATGGACCCTGAGAGCCACAAAGTCATCTGCTTCTGTGACCATGGGACAGTGCTGGCTGAGGACGGCGTCTCCTGCATTGGTAAGAGGGAGGTGAGGGAGGTGATCAAGAAGGGGCCCAGACTGTGAGCCCATTGTGGCTACAGCTGGTTTCCATGATTCTGGAACACCTCAGATGCAGTCTTGTAAGCTTTCCGACGCCCATCTGCCTGCCCCAACACGGATGCTCTAAGGACTGGGCAAAGGGACCTGTGTATGAAAGGCAGGTCGTGGCTAATGAAGGAGCCCCAACACGTCTGGTCACACCCCTAACCCAGGGTGCGGGCCCTCACATCCTCACCAAGGGGCCATCCCGTCTCCACAGGAAACCCCCCCAGTGTCTGGGACATCACCACCCCTGGAGCACACTGTCCCCTCCAGGGTTCCCAAGCCAGACTCTGTCCCTTTCAATTTCCACCCTGAGGTTCGCTACTCGCAAAGCCTTTCAGGCACTGCAGGTGTTTGGAGACAGGGCTGTGTCCCCTCCTGCAAGCCTCCAGGTGAAACAGCCCGCTTGTTTACGTCAGTTCCCACAGAAGAGTTTGTCTCCTTCCCATCCTGTGTCCCGTGTCTGCAGGTGTTCCGATGACCAATGTCCCTTTGAGATGTAGTGTCCAGGACCAAGGAGGATGTCCCAGCGTGGTCTGTGCCAGTGTGCACCTGGACCCCCCCTTCTGCCACAGGCAGTGATTGACCCTCCAAGTGTTACTAACGGTCACCTCGATTCCTGGGTCGTACTGAGTCTGTGGTCCCCTAAGGCCTCTGAATCTTCTAGGCTCGCTTTCCCACCCTCATCCTGTCCTTGTGCAGTTGATGTTTAGGATCAATGTCCAGAATTTGATATTTATCCCTGTCACATGTTCCCTCCGCCCAAAAGCTACTGTTGAAAGTTGCAAACCAGACTGAGCCCACTTCCTGCCCCCGCTCTCTGCAAACAAAGGCCTCCAGGGTCGGTGAGGACCGGGTGGCGTTTGTCCCGTCTGGGGAGGGTCTTTCTCTCTTGGAGCTAGCTCAGAGGACGATCGGCGCTGTCGTTGGTGCCCCATGGGGTCCTGTCTTGCAGTGTCCCCCACGCCCGAGCCCCACCTGCCGCTCTCACTGGTCCTCTCCGTCGTGACCTCAGCCCTTGTGGCGGCCCTGGTCCTGGCTTTCTCCGGCATCATGATCGGTGAGTGTGCCAGAGTCCGGGGCTTCCAGGGGTTGGGAGGTGGCAGGAAGCAGAGCTGGCAGAACAGAACAGCATTTCAGGCTTTGCCAAGGATGCCAAGGTGCCACTCTGGGTGGGTGGTGATCAGAGCAGCCCAGGCCAGGCCAAAAACAGAAGCGCCCCCTCCCAGCCCCCCGGTTCCCTAGAGGAACTGCTGGTTCCACACCTTGGCCCCCTGTACAGCCTCCTGGCTGCTCTAGGAGAGGCGGGGAGGCACTCTGCAGAGGGGACACAGTATCCCAAGCTCAGCCCCACCCCAGAGTTCATTTTCAGCCGTCATCAGACATGCGCTTCAGTGGACACATGGCCTGGTTCTTCCCCAGGGACCACCTCCAGCCCCACAATTCCCCACTTCGAGCGGACAGTGCAAAGTTGGTTTCTAAGTGTTTCTATTACACCTGAGAGCCAAAGTGAGCTGATAGGCAGGTCTCAGAGGGCTCAGCTCCATCCGGCCAGGTTCTCATTCTGGTAATGCCCAGGGCAGGTGGGAGGGCTATGAAGGAAGGCAGAGGGGAAAGATCCACATGGACAGCACTTTTAGACCCTTCAGGGCAGGCAGTGGGGGTTGAGGGTGGTACAGAATCTGGGGGTGGACAGGGAGGTGGCAACATGTGTTATTCCTGAATGATGCCACCCTTCAAAGGGACAGGATACGGAGAGCTAACACTTGTAGCACACGCACTACTTGCCATGTGATTTACACACTTTGGTTCATCCAGTCCTCACTTAACCCTATGATCACGGTTGGTGCATTTCATAGAGGAGGGAACTGAGCACACAGCAGCTGACCCACTTGCCCTGGCCCACAGCTGGTGGGGCTGAGCTTTAAACACAGAATTCGCCCTGTGCATCTCAGTTTCGTTCTGCCTCCCGTGGACTTTGCCCTATAGGATGTTCTCACATATAGTAATAGCAGGGTAATGATCACGTGCACTGGTAGAGCTCTTTAAAGTTTTTCAAAACCATTTTCTGTTGGTGAATTCACTTCATTATGACATCCCGAGGGGGTGGGGGGTGGGGAGGTAGAGGACAGGCAGGAGTTACTGTCCCTGCTGACAGAGAAAGAGGCGAGGTCCACAGAGGTCACATGAGCTCACACTTTGCTCAGCTGGTAAGTGATAAAGGGTGAATTAGCAGGCAGGTCCTCAGGCACCAGTGAGAGACCTTTCCCCTCTGTGGCAGCTCTCCCTGTGGCTGGGCAGTTTCCAACTTCAGGAAGCATAAGTGATCGAGAGACCCAGATGCACTCCCAACTCCACTGCCTTGTTTGTCCCACCCAATGACAGGGCTTAGCAGAGATTCTAAGGCAGGCCCATTCCTGGGAGACACGGGACCCTCTGATGGCTGACCTTGGCTCCCAGCCTTCCAGCAGTGTTGCTAAAACCTCTTTAGACTGCATAGCCGTCTAGGTCTTTACTCACCCTTTCCTTAATCTCCCACACTTGGGGTCAGTGCCTCATGGCTCTCCCAGCCTTCTCTCCCCTCTTCCTTTCAGCCATTTCCCCTGATGAAATCCCTGCATGTTTAATCCCACCTTGGGTCTGCATCTCAGAGGACACCCCCAACTCATGGGTTTCTGCCCCTGCATGATACATTAAAATCTTTCCCCTTTATATCATTTTAAACTTTATACTAACTTTAAGTGATCTTTCAGTTAAGGGACGCTTTCATATCCATAATCATTTGTTAGTGTTACCAAGTGCGATGGAAATGTTTAGATCCCAGAGGAGAAGATGGAGATCCAATAGGGCTTCCTGGAGGAGGTGGTCTGTGGTAGGCTTCAAGGGCCAGGCTGCCTGGTCCAGGCCATGTTGCAGCTGACCTTTATCGGTCTGTAGTGTACCGCCGGAAGCACCAGGAGCTGCGAGCCATGCAGATGGAGCTTCAGAGCCCTGAGTACAAGCTAAGCAAGCTTTGCACCTCGACCATCATGACCGACTACAACCCCAACTACTGCTTTGCCGGCAAGACCTCCTCCATCAGTGACCTGAAGGAGGTGCCTCGGAAGAACATCACCCTCATCCGGTGAGTGCCCCACCACTGTCCTCTGGGGTGGGGGGGTGGGAGAGCTCTAGGGGGCTGCATATCATCCCTACACCATGGATCTTTCTAGGCACAAGAGGCCAGCGAAGCAACCCTTCAGAGCATTTCTAGCCCTCCCAGAGAGGGATTAGGGGTAATGTTTAGGGCCATCTGGGGAGGTGTTTAATTGCTTAACATCCCATACATTCATGGTATTTGTACAATGAGAAGAAAACAAGATGGGAGGGAATCAGGGCATTCCTCAAAATCACTTGAAGTGCTCCTTCCCTGAACCTTCTGGGTCCCTCCGTCCTCCAGGGGAGCACTGTGCCCCTCCTCTGAGCTTCCAGAACACCTCATGCCTTCCTTCATCATTCACTGAACTCATGTTACAGGAGTGTCTGCCCATGACCTGTCCCTCCCCAGGGATCAGGAGGCTCTCCCCAGGCAGGGCATGTTTTAGTCACCTTTATGACCCCAGCAAATATCAAAAACTCAGTCTTCATTGAGTGAATGGACATTCAACCAGTGTCCTGAATCCTGGGTGGGAACCTTTCTTACCCGTTTTCAGATGAAGCAGAAGGAGGCCCGGGACTGTACGGCAAAGCCAGGTGGAGGGTGTTACTCTTGAGTGTGCACATGACCCCTGCCTCCTGCGTGCCTCTTCCTCATGGCCCATCCCCTCTGTCTCATCTTACCTTTTCCCTTGCACAGGGGTCTGGGCCATGGTGCGTTTGGAGAGGTGTATGAAGGTCAGGTGTCTGGAGTGCCCAGCGACCCAAGCCCCCTGCAAGTAGCTGTGAAGGTAAGAGGCAGGCTCCATCACGGGCCTGACCTTCACCAGCAGTCTCTGTGGGCCTCAACTCTCTCATCCCTGCTGCTCACTGCCTTCTCCCCCTTTCCACCCTCCTCTTCTGTGTCCAGACGCTGCCTGAGGTGTGTTCTGAACAGGATGAACTGGATTTCCTCATGGAAGCCTTGATTATCAGGTAAAGCCACAGAGAGACACCCCCATCCCTGTTAGAAGTTTCTGCCTGTCTAACTGTCTCCAAGGGAAACAGTGCTGTCCTCGGCATCCCCTTCCTCTCCACCAGGGGACTCCCTAAAATTCTTAGCACATCTTACCAGAGGGAAATAGCCTCAGGTGATTGTCTGAGAAAAAAATCTCTTTGGCCTAATAATTTAACAGATATCCCTCTGCCTTCAACGAGCACCCCTGTGTCATCCATGGGTTTCCCCCCCTTTTTCTTAATAGAGCATGCTAGTTTTTGACAGTGGAAGATACATTTTCGCTCCAAGTAAGCCTTCCACAAGGCCCTTCACCAATCCCAGCTCTTAGATCTTGGGTAAGGGAAGTGTGCCCCAACATGATAGAGGCCACCACGCCCTGTTGCATACCAGGCTTGCACCCTTCAGCATGTGCCTCTGGGGTCCCTCACTGGGAAGCCTGGTGCCCAGAGCTCCAGAGGGCATGTGCTCTGACAGAAGATCACCTTAACAAGGACACAGGTGTTTGACCTTGAGATCTGGCCATTTTCATGGCTTCCTGTTATGCTGGAGAGCCTCAAACATCCTGACACATTGGGGTGACCTGGGGTCCCCCCTGGGCGAAAGTGATAGTGGAACAAGGCCAGGGCAGTAGGTGATGTGCCTGTGGTGTGTCTGGAGCCACAGAAAGATGCCATGAGAAAAACTAGCGTATTTCTGATTACACATGTAATCCACGGTTACTGATAAAGCTTGGAGAGTATAAGATCATATGGAAGGAGACCCAAATCCTTCAATCTCACTATTGCTGATGACCCTTCACTGCAGTATACCTCCGTGGAGTCCTTCAGCTCTGTCCTAATAGGATCACATTAACAAGAACACCCAGGTGCACCTGGGTGGCTCAGTCAGTTAAGTGTCCAACTCCAGCTCAGGTCATGATCTTGAAGTTCATGAGTTCAAGCCCTGCAACAGGCTCTATACTGATGGCTCAGAGTCTGGAGCCTGCTTCAGATTCTGTGTCTCCCTCTCTCTCTCTTCCCCTCCCCTGCTTGCACTCTGTGTCTCTCTCTCAAAATTAAGTAAAACATTAAAATATTCTTAATAGATAAATTTTTTAAAAGAGAAGAAAACCCGAATCTTGAGACCTTTTGACTAGACTCAGCCCCTTCCCGTGAGCACCCAAGGGAGATGTCCATGGCCTCCCTCCTCATGCCCCTCCACACGCGGTCACCTGGCAGGGCTCCCTCAGTCCCTGGAGGAAGCAGCTTCTTCAGCTTCTCTGCTAGGGCTACCTTGAAGACCTCACACATGAATCCTAGCGAGCAGTCCATGCACCAATGTCCCAGATACTGGCTGCCCCTTGTGCCCCTGCCCACCCTACCTCCTCCCCGTGTCCCTGTTCAGCGGCTTGCAGCCTCCAACCGAACACTCTCATGCACCCTGAACTCCTGCCCCGCCTGCTCCCTGGGTCTCCCACCCGCCCAGCAGTGAGATTCTCCGCAGCCTCGGCTCAGCTTGGGAGCCCTGCACATTTACAGAATGCATTGACATAATGCAGCTGCTGAAAACATAACTTTGTATCCTGCTTCTCCCACTTAAGGTTTTCCCAGACTCAGCTCCATTAAATTTGGTTACTCCCCTCTGCTCTGCAGCAAATTCAACCACCAGAACATCGTGCGCTGTATTGGAGTGAGTCTGCAAGCCCTGCCCCGATTTATCCTGCTGGAGCTCATGGCGGGAGGGGACCTCAAGTCCTTCCTCCGGGAGACCCGTCCTCGCCCGGTGAGTGGGAACCGGTCTTCCCCTAGTGACTGTGCCAGGGAATGGAGCAGAGGGTGGAAACCGCAAGAGTGGGCAGCCTGAGAAGGAACATACTTGGTGGGACTCAGGGAGTCAGCCTCTGGGCTTGGACCTGGGAAATGGCCAGGAGAGATTGGACAGAAGGTGGACGATGGCTGAGGCCACCCTGGGGAGCTTGTGCAAGGCTTCTGCAATGGGTCCTCTAGCCTGAATCCATTTTTGTGGCCTGCAGACTCTAGAAAACCAAACTACGGACAAGCACAGAGGGGGACTTTCATGCCAGCCATGTCATTAACTGATTTGGGACATCTACTCATTCGGAATCCCACTATCCTCGTCTCTTAAATGGGGACATCCTGGCCTCGTTATTTTACTGTCAAAATAAAGTACTTATGAAGTATATTATGAAATATTTATGAAGGTTCTGCATGTGTGTCATGATTAAGGGGCTGGAGCTTGGGGAAGTGAGGAAACCTAGATGGACCCCAGGAATGCCATATCCCAGCCCAGCTGGGCCATTAGACAGCCATGTGGCTTAGGACTGTGAACCCTATAACCTCAGCATCTACAGTATGAAATCCAAGGGCTGGACTAGGACATCTTGGAGGTGGGTTCGAAGAGGTAGCACACTGGGCATACTCAGAGTCCAGCTGCCCACCTCTGTCCCTGCCAGGGCCTTCAGGAAGCCCTGAGCACCGGGAACTGGAGCAGACCAGCCCTCTGTGTTAGGACCCAGCTTCCTCAAGGTGCCACTGGACCACGAAGACCACAGGGAAGACTTGCACCCTCCCCACCCCTGAGAAAGCAGAAACATACGACAGCCACCTCGCTACGGAAAGTGCAGAACTGAACACTGTGTTCTCAGGGGCTCAAACTGGAGGTGGACACCTTGCAAGGTCACACCTGCTCTAACCCCCACTGACAGCCAGGCTGCATTTAGAAGACCTTAGCCCTGAGAGCCTCCATACCGTTCCTGCAAACTGTCACCTCCTGGGGACGTGTCTCAGCATCTAAGAAGAATTGGGTCTAACTCCCTGGAAAGATGAGTGTGTGCACCTAAGCACACCTGGCGGGAGAAAGAGGGGAGGGGGGAGAAAGGCCAACCCCATCTCCTAATCCTCATCAGCATTGTTTTCATCTTCCTCATCGTTGCCACGTTTCTCAACTCCCCCCCCCCCCCATGAAGTAGACGATGTAGATCTCATCTTAATTTTCCAAATGAGAAAACTGTGGCTCAGAGAGGCTATGTGACTTACTGAGGCCACACGGGAAGTGGAAGAGCTGAGACTAGAACTCAAGACTTGTAACTCCTAATTCAGTGCTCTCTCCAGCCTACTGGGCAATTTATCCCAATGCTCCTCTTTGGGAATCCATGGAATACCAAGAGGAGCTCGGGTCGTTGAGAGCCAATACCCCCGGCTATGCAGACATCTGAACCAGGGTCTGGACGCCAGCCTCAAAGGCTTTCCAGCACCACTCAGGAAGGCAGAGCCTTCAAGTCCTTACCCTGAGATCCTCAGCAGTGCTTCTGCCAGAGGTGAAATGGGGCCATGTAGCATCATGCTCTGGAAAGACAGCTAGTTCCAATTTTCCTACTGGACATTCCTGAGGCTTGAGGAGAAGGAAGTATTGTGCATATGCAAAGGACAGTCGTCCTTGTAAAGGGGATCTGGGACCCCATCACTTGGCAAGCCCAAGGACATCAGGATGGGGAGCTTCTCTGTCTCTTGCAGGCAAAGGCATCTCTCTCTCTCTCTCTTTTGATGGTAATGATGATTTGAATATCGTCCCAAGGATCAAAGCGCCAGCAAGGAAAGGCAGTTCATTGACCCTCCCACTGCTTCCCACCCCCAAGGAAGCTCAGAGCAAGGAAATGATGCCAAGTTGTGACCTCTAACTACAGGCACTGCCCAGGGGATGCCCACAGCCAGAAGGTGGTCGACTCTCTTTGGGAGAGCTGCTTCTGAGGGTGAGGGTCCCACTCACCAAATCCACTCTTTTCACCCCTGACCCCACTCTTCCTTCATGTGACTCTCCTTCCAGCCATTCCCCCAAGTCTTTTTAGCACCCCAGTCATCCTGCTCCTCACCTTCATACATAGCCACCCCTCCCTGGTCCTTCCTGAGATGCCTGCCCATGAAAGGTGACTTAAAATGTTGATTTAGAACCCTCCAGCATGAGTCCAGGCACACATGTTTATGTCAGCAGGTTCCTGGAGGGTTGGGAGATGTGCTGGGTGTTGTTATGGATGCTCAGAGACACAAAATGCAACTTAGCAGAGTAAGGATCAGGTTGACCTTGAGAAAGGAACATGCATTGTAGTGGACAGAGGGGGCCAATATGAATAAAGCCTATATGTGACAAAGAAGGGAGGGACTGGCTACTGGGCATCACAGCTGGAGAAAGACACACACCCAAAGACAGTGAGTTGGGTTGGGACACTCGCTAGATTCAAAGGCCTCAATTCCACCTGATTCATTTGTTTGAACCCCCCGAGACCCTCAGGGCTCACCTGTGACCTGCCGCTTGCCGGCGCTGGGCTGGGTATTCAGAATCAGACATGGTCTTGGTCCTGTCTTCCTCCCACCCTGGGGTTGAGCACTTCCATAGACTCTCAGGATCGAAGCACCTCAGAGACAGTCCAAGAGGCTCTGGCTTCAGACGGACATGAAGTGACAGAACAGATGTACAGACACGGTAGGACAGAATGGATCCCCTGGACACGACCATGTCTGTCATGGAAACAAAACGCATGGGTACAGATGGAAACCTCATTTGGTCCCAGCACCCCACCTTCTCAAGAAGGAAAGACTTATTTTAATGCCAGAATAATTTTACAGGACAAACCTTTATCCAACAAATATTTATTGAGAGTTTAATATATGCCAGATATGGGCTAATAGCTGTCCTTTGGCATCCATTGACTTAATCAGTAACAAGAGAAGCCATTAAGGACTCAGTAATATCTCAATTAAAGGTGGCAATCCATTAACCACAATAGTGTCTGTGCCTGTCGGGAACATGGTGATGCCTGTGGTAATGGCTCTAGAGAATATGTTCAGTACACAGGAGGCTCCTTGGATCCCAGAGGTCACAAAGTACAGGTGAGACTCTTGGGCTAATGCCCAGGTGTAAATCTTTGGCTCTGATGTTCTCATACCAGTGCTGGCTCCGAAATGCTTAAAGGGTCATCAGGTGCCAGGGAAAAGTTGGCCATATCAGTGACTCTGTGAAACAACAACAACAATGAAACAAAAAACCTGATTCCAGTTCTTTCTTTGCCTAGGACAGGTACAAATGCCATTGGACACACCAACTATGCTCTACATTGCTAGCTTAATTATCAGTTTTGACACAACATCTCTACCTCCCCAGACACACACACACACCACAGGTTGCCAACTATCTGCTTCTGTGCAGACTGATTAGTGGAGCAGTTAATTTGCTCTGAGCAGCCAAAGACAGGGAGTTCAGATAAACCTGGCCCGTGGGTTAAAGCCTGGGAAGATTTAGTCCCTGCAGCATGCCAAGCATTTAAGACATCAATGATCCTTGCATCCTGAGTGATGGGGGCTGAGACACAAACAGACTCAGGGGGAGCTATGACCAGTCCTCTTTAATAGGAATAGAACATTTTCCTGAAGAGAGAGAAGATATTTCTAATGCTGTAGCAAAATGGATTAATATTTTCCTTGGAAACATATTACCCTTCCCCCCTAGGAAATGGGGACTGTCTTCTCACAGGGCCAGTAGTTCTGACCTGAACAAGGCCCCTAAGAGAAGCCAAACACAAGGACCATTTCCCGAGACGCCCAGGCCCCTCCGTGTAGTAACCCCACCATAACTGCAGATCCCTTCATGAGGGATGCGCTTTGTGCCTCTTGCCGTGGGTCCTTATTACAGACTAGCGAGGGCAATAGTGTCCTGCCTCTTTCTCAGACAAGAACGCTGGCTTGGAGACAGGCAAAGCTGTGTGTCCCAGGGCACAAGCAGGGATGAAGCCTAGTTCAGCTCAACTGAAATAGATTGCTCACTGCATTTGTGTGCTGTGTTCTGATTCAGTTGGGTACTGTGCACTGTGTCCCTGTATACTCCATCCCTTCTATGACACATTCTCCTAGAATCTTGCCTCCCCCAACCCTGATCCTTAAAGCCCAGCTCGGGGCAGTTTTGGCTCCTTCCTATTGGCTGTGTGACCTAGAGTGAGTCATGTAGCCTCTCTGAGCTCTCAGCCTTCTCCTCTTTAATATGGAGATACATTCTCTTGCCTACGACCACAGAGGATGTTGCATCATTTCATGTGCATGGACTTGCTATACTGCATATAAGACATTGCCTGAAGTGCCATGGGCAAAGACTATTCCCCTCCCCAAGCTGTCTCCCCCAGAACTGAGGCATGCCCTAGAGAAGCATGACCCCTCTCTGCCCCACAGACCCATACTATTGCTCCAAGGAGTCCTGAGGAGGCCCTGATCTGTGGCAAAGAAGACACCCAGCCAGCATCTGGGTAAATTATAGACCAGCTGTGATCAACTAACTTACCCACCATATTCATTGAGCCACTGCTGTGTCCCGAGCATCGTGCTACATATCGGGGAAGTGGATGCTGAAATTCCTGTCTTGGGGACCTCAAAGTTTACTTGGGGACATGGTCGACTAAACAGTACAGCAAAGTGAATGTGACACTGCATGATACATGCTGCTGCAGGCTTCGTGGATTTAGGAATTAAAGGAGACACCAAGATGGGAATTCGACCTTCAGAAAAGACTTCTGGGTGCTCAGCAAGGCTGTCCAGGAAGCGGAGACGAGCTCACCCTGGGGATGGGATGACGTCTCTTTCTGCACAAGAGACTTCATATAGAAAAGCTTGAGATCGCCCTTCAACTGCCCAGCATTTCCTGAAAGCTTGTCGCTTTCAATCCACTTTAGGTCTAGATCTTCTTGAAGAAGTTTAATTTTTTTTATATTTTTCAACATTTCAATAGAGCATCTTTAAAACATTATCTCCCCTGATTCCTTCACAGGTTTGTTTATAGGTGTGGGGGGCTCGAAGTTTGGTGAGGATTGAGGTGGAAGAGTGTGCAGAGTACCTGAACAGGGCAAGAGACACCTGTCCCATCCTGTCCCATGCCGTAGCTTCAGGCGCTCAGCCCTGGCGGCACGCTGCACTGACCCGGGGAGGCTGGGAAACCTGCAAACGCTACCCCCACCCAGGGAAGCTGATTCACTGGTCCTGGTCGAGGCCCCGGCATCTGCATTTGTTCAAAGCCGCCAGGTGATTTCTGATGTGCGACCAGGCTGAGACCCGGCTGGGCGGCGTGTCCGTGTTTGCTCCTTGCCAGCACCTGAAGCCCACGTTTCCGATCTTCTCTCCCCACAACTCTCTTGACCGTGGATTGTTTCTGTCTCCCCACAGAACCAGCCCTCCTCCCTGGCCATGCTGGACCTTCTGCATGTGGCTCGGGACATTGCCTGTGGCTGTCAGTATTTGGAGGAAAATCACTTCATCCACCGGTGAGTCAAAGTGACCTTGGTCTTCCCTCTGCCTTCTGTATGCTTCCCTACATGTCTTCCCTACACTTCAGAGGAGGATGGTGGGTGTCTCTCCAGACTTATTCAGATGACTCAACGTCACTTTGTCTTTTTTTTTTAAACATATTTTTAAAGTTGATTTATTGATTTCAAGAGAAAGAGAGAGAGTATGTGAGGGGGCAGAAAGAGGTAGAGAATCCCAAGCAGACTGCATGCTGTCAGCACACAGCCCTATGCAGGGCTCGAACCCACGAACCGTGTGATCATGACCCCAGCAGAAATCAAGAGTCAGGTGCTCAACCAACTGAGCCACCCAGGTGTCCCAGCCTCATTTGTCTTTAAGACAATTACTTACTCTCTCAGGGCTTCACTTGCCCCATCTGTAAAATGGGAATCATAAAATATCCACACCAGCGCTGGAGACCTAGCTGAGTGGTCCTTGACCTCCTGCGAGCCCTCCTGTATGTTATCTTGCAGCCCTCTATCACGTTAGTTAGTTAGCCACATTAGAAAACCTGGCTCTTTAAGGGAAGTCAAAGGAGTTCATAGTTTCACATATTTGACTATGGGTAACTCAAAGGCAAGGACTCTGTTTCATTCATCTTCATATCCCTGGTATATCATGGGGCACAATTAATGTCTGTTGGATACATTAACTTTTTCTACAATACTTATTCTGAAATGAAGCATAATGTTTCTTTTCTTTGCTTCCATAGTTCATTTCATCTACTGTCTATGATCCTTGTCTACATGGTGTTTGATTGGGACATCAAATCCATATGTAGTGCTATTGCCATGATAGAGTCTACGTATTTCTTTCCGTGTGTGGGTGTTGATGACTTTCTCAGCTGACACTTTGATTCTGAAATCTGAAAAGTCAAATAGATTGCTAGGCTCTCTGCAAAACTCCTTCTAATGATGCACTTCTCAGTTGGTAAATATCAACCTGGTGAACAATCACTTTTTAACCCATGTCTTCAAAGAGTATAAGACATGTCCATAATAGTTAGAATAGGTAAGTACAGAGCAGGAAATGTGAGAAGCTGTATGAGTTCAGAAATGGAAGAGCAAGTAAGCAGATAGCAAGCCCTGCTTTCTGCCCTAATAAAAATGGAGACACTAACGATTAAGAAATGTGCTCACCTAGGCTCCCAAACTCATTCCTAAAACAAGGCAATAAATGCTCACACTGGCTTATCCTTTTACTGTCCCTCCATCATTTTGGTCTTCAGATCTTCATCTTGATTCTAACTCTGTCCAACTTGCGGGATTTGTGCTTGATAGAAAAAACAGGAGTGAAAAAGGGGCTGGGACCAATCCTTCGTGTTCCCTCCAAAGCCACACACTCTGCTTCAAAGTAGGAGGCAGACTTGCCATTGTTCTTGCCCTTTTCATTGTGCCCAGAAATTTCCATAAATCAGCTCTGGGTTTTATTGCTGTTCAGACAGGACAAGGTCGTCCTAGCTAGAGCCATCTTTCCACCTGTTGTCTGTGTTCTCTAAGTCTGGACTCGTCAGAGAGTGAGCTCTGCGGTCATGTTGGTGACTCTGGATACCTGCCTTCCCTTTTCACTGAGATCATTTGTGCTTTTTCATCTCCACCCCGTGTCATTCACCCAGCATCCAGATTCTCTGGCTGAGATATCACATCCTTCTTCCCTCTGACGTTTTGAAATCTGCTTTGCTAGAGCCATGATGTATTTCGACTATATCCAGCGCTCTGTTGTTATAGATCATAAGATAACGGGATCACATTGTCTCAAGATTCCTATCACTTCCACATCGGTAAATAGTTACCTAAGGTCAGAATTGGATCCCAGGGTAATAGTTTGTTGCTACTTTTATCTTTTTTGTGAAATGAAATTGTCAAAGATCAAATCAGGAATGATTCAGATGGTCTGCTTTATAAGCAAAAGGCAACTTCTAATAGAAATTGTCCATCTCAATCAAAGCTTTTCTTCTGGGGTAACTGGCATTAGGAAGGCACCTTTTGCACTTCCTCGCTGGTTCTGGGCTCTGTGGCACACTCCTACAGCAGGGTGACCTCTAATCCTCTCTCCTCCACCGACACCCGCCTCAAGATTCACAGGCTCCCATGCATGCACACCTCCTAAATTCAGAGGGGAACTCCTTCCCCCAGATTCACATGCTCCCATTTTTCTATCAGATCTGTTTCCTTTGGACATGGGTTATTGCTATTTCAAGAATTATGGGTCATTCTACCAATTCGTGGCATGTTCTATGAGATCACATTCACTTTCTTGCCGTTAAATTCAAGATCACTTTTTTAAGCAACCATTTCACGCACATCAGCATAAAGACCTTCCTGGAGATATAAATATTGTTCCTGTTCTAGTTCAGTATATTTTTCTTGAGAAGCAATGGCTATATATCCTACTATTTTTCTTCTTTTTGATGTCATATATGTTATGCTTTTATAGTTTTATTAGAGCATTTTATGCACTATTGCTCCTGAAAATTCAACTTAAGCCTTCGGCATCAGGTCAGTGACATTAACAACATCCATCTCCCCCTCTGGCCCATTGTTCTGGTATCTAAGTGTTCTAATGATCCCCAGTCTGGGTCCTGTTTATTTTCCATGTCCTTATTTCTCAACCAAAGATCAGGACCTTTGGGAAACCAGATGAAAATATGAAAGCACCACCTGGGCTGCCTGAGACATACTCCTTTTTTTTCTGTCCAGAACTTTAATATTATTAGAGACCCATTCCAGACTTCTTCTGGATGCATCCTTCATTGCCACATGCATGTCAAGAATGGGTAAGCAGTCAGCAAGTGGACGCTGACGAGTCTTGGAAAGCTTTGATCGTGCCTTATAGGCATGCCGCAGGAAAACAGGCCATCTGGTACACAACAGCAGAGGCACAATCACTTTACAACTTGAAAGAAAGCATTCTTCAGCCACAAAGCTGCGATGCGCACAGCTTGGCAAAGGCTTTAGTGAAAATCATGGATGTGAGAACAATAGTAGCTTCTTAAAAAAAGAAAAGAAAAGAAAAGAAAACTAGAATTATTTGGGAATACCTTGACCTGCTTGAGTTTGGTATCCTGGGAGTCCTGCTGTCCCAGCACAATCCATGAGACAGCTGGTAGACACTGACAGCAATCTGTATAAAACAATAGCCTAAGGCCAAGTGGCATTTCTTATGTCCCTCTATTATTTTCTTTTAGCTTATGTTTTTTACCAAAATGAGAACAATAATAGCACCCTGTATCTTATCGGGTTGTTGTGATAATTACCCATGAAGCACTTAGAACAATGCTTAGTACAGAGCAAGAGGCCAATAAATTCTAGTTCCTATTATCGTTGCTTTCATTATTATTCTCCCATTAAACATTTTCAGTCATCTCCCCTATTCTGTTTCAATTTCCCTGTTAGTTCTGAGGGCTAGAATTGGTATAGCTCTTTCTCTCATACTGAGGTGGAAGGTAGCAAAGGGAATATAGGGCAGGGAGGGAACTATTTGAACTTCAGATTGGACATGAAAATCCTTGTGAGGAGTATCACGTTTATCTTCCCAGAAATACAATTTAGAAGTGCATTTTCTCCTTCTTTTTCTTCCCAGGGACATCGCTGCCAGGAACTGCCTCTTGACCTGTCCAGGTCCTGGCAGAGTGGCCAAGATTGGAGACTTCGGAATGGCCCGAGACATCTACAGGTGCGCAAAGATCAAAGCCCCATCCCCTCAAGAGAATAAGACGTTGCCGCTTGTGCCCTGTCGTTTCTGGTACCCTGTCAACTTGCCACCTAACGCTTCCTTAAGTCCCTGTCAAGGACGTACGAAATCTTAATTAGTGCCCATACCTGGTGGTCTAATTCTAGGATCACTGACTGCAGTCACTGACACCACATTCTTTCTGGCTCCAACTCTCACTAATCCTAGGATGTTCTCTGACACAGAATAACCTGAATACTTGATATGGAAAACGTTCTCAGTAACTTTTCCTTAACCCCTTCCCTTAATAACAGGAAGTTCCAAATGGACTTGGCTTCCATCACCCCAGGCAGGAGCACCCCCGAACTGACAACATATTGGGCAAGCTCACTGGTCTTCTCTACCCTCACTGGGAGCCACGGGAGGGTGCTAAGTTCAGCTTCAGCTCTTTATCCCTGTCATAGTCTCAAGGGTACATTAGAAAAATAATTTTTGTAATTTAAAAACAATCCTCCATTGTGCTTTACCTTACTCTTCTCTTCCCAACCCCCAGTTTCATTTTCATCTGATTATTTACAACTGTGACTTGCTCCGCGAGCTGAGCAAGTCACTCCTTTGTGTGGTCACTAATGATGCCCTCCCTGATCCAGGGGTAGAGTGAGGACAGATGGTCACTTAGAGCTTTCACTCTCTGGAAAGTAAGGGGGACCCCCGAAGCCCCCCCCCCTGTAGAACTGATAGCCATCGACATGAATGGGAATGCTTGTGCCACCCCCTCACGGCAGGAGAGGAGTGCAGGAAGGATTGGGTGCTCCACTCTCTCTCCTCTTAGCTCTCAGAGTCTCGGTGTCCCTCCGCCTCCTTTCTCGGAATCCCCAGGTTGCCCTTGCTTTTAGACACAAGTATTGCAGCATGACTCAGTGACCCCATCAGTGATGGGCCCTTCCTCTCCATCCCCAGCCCTGACAGCGCCCCGGCCCCAGGCTTCACCACCCAACCTGCCCACAGCCCCACTGTTCCCATACACCCCACAACTTCATGTGTCAGGAGTGGTCTTCCAGGGCCGTGTCAGCCTGGCTATGAACCTTCCTGTGCGTCTGTGGCACTGAGCTACACACACACCTACATTGTCTACACTGCAGTTGTCGATGTGTCTATTTCTTCCACTAAACTGTACCCTTGGACGAGAGAGACTAAGACTTCTGTGTTCAACACTTAGCAGAGTAAATACTCAGTAGAGGACCCCCCCGCCCCCCGCCCCGCCCTGATCCTGTTTCTCTTTCCCCAGTTTCAGTTACTGTGTGGTCTGGAGGCAGATGCTCCTCCTCCTGACACACCATCAGAAGGTTCATAGTAGCCTAACTTCACGTCACAATGCCCGGGTCACTCACCTCACCTCATCTCACCACGTAGGCATTTTATCATCTCACATCATCACAAGAAGTAGGGTGAGTGGAGCACAATAACGTGTTTTAAAGAAAGACAGAGAGACTACATTCTCCTAACTTTTATTATGGCATGTTATTATAATTATTCTATTTTATTATTAGTTATTGTTGTTAATCTCTCACTGTGCCTGATATGTAAATTAAACTTTATTGTAGGTCCACATATATAAGAAAAAACATGGTAGCTATAAGGCTTGGTACTATCTGTGATGTCAGGCATCCACTGGGAGTCTTGGGGTCTATCCCCCATGCATAAGCGGGGACCAGTGTCCCTGTTCATTGAAGGAATTAATTAATCTAAGCAGCTGGCGGGGAGCTGCCTCTGAAGGCACACCCCAGCATGAGAACATAGACACCTTTGAGCCGGCTTCAAAGGGATGAGTTAATTGATTGGTTTTTGTCAATGATGTCATTAATGCATTAACACAGCTCATGATAAAACTCATCACTCAACTCACACCCTTGAAGCCAGCTCCATCCCTAAGTCTGTGTTCTCGTGTTTGGGGTGTACCGTCAGCTCCCCTCCAGCTGCCTTGATTCTCTGCCGAGCGCCTATACTCAACTAAACGCTGTATGAGTGCCACGGAGGGTCCAGAGTGAACAAGCCCAGGCTGGACCTCCCATTACTGTGGATCCTCAGGAAGCAGGCTGTACTTACAAGGCTGCAGTACTGATTCATTGTGAGTTATAATCCACGAAACCCATCAGGGAAATCTAACCATCTGCTACTGGATATTTTAGTCATTGCATAGATCTTGACTTTCATGCCTCAAGTGGGCTGAATCCTATTAAATGACACCAAAGCTTAACTTAATTTTAAATGATCTGTGTTCCCTGGCTTTCCTCCTGAACCGCAAGGAGCCCTCGTTAATTTCAGTCCTGTAATGGCTACAGCTTATCGTCATCACCTTCTCCGGTGGCCCTGGGAGAACCAAGTTTGGATTTCCTCCAGAACCAAGTTTGGGTTTCCTCTTCTCCCCCACAGAGCGAGCTACTACCGGAAGGGAGGCTGCGCCATGCTGCCGGTCAAATGGATGCCTCCAGAAGCCTTCATGGAAGGAATCTTTACTTCTAAAACAGATACATGGTGAGTCTTTCTGCTGCCCTCCTGCGGGTCTCACTGTGGGCCTTACGGTAGTGCTCTTGGGCCACAGGATCCCACGCTCCCACGGGGAAGGGTGAGAGGAGATGAGTCAACACACCTCTACAACAGGGGCTGTCAAACGTTGGCATGTATCAGAATCGTCAGAAAGGCGGGTAGAGCATACATTCCTCTCCCTACCCTGGGATCTTATGGATCACTGAGAATTTGCATTCCTACCAAGTTTCTAGGTGATGCTGATGCCACCTGCTGGGGACTACACAGTGAGAGGCACACATGATTTTTTTTTTTTTTTTTTGGTCCACTTTGCTACGAAGTTGGGTTTGTTGCAGGAAGGCAACATTGAGTTAACATTAGAAAGGTTGATCAGTGAACTCCTCTCCATTAACAGAAGAAAGGGTAAAAGAAAATAATTATCAGCACAAAAGTGCTGCAGGTGATTGTGGTGTTGAGACCCATTGCACAGTGAAAGATAAGTTTGGAAAGCACCATACATTAGATCTCCAGAACTTATTCATCCTGCATAACCGAAACCTCGTGCTTCTGACCAGCATCTCCCCATTTCCTCCTTCCTCCTGCCTCTGGCAACCACCGTTCTCCCCTCTGCCTCTGTGATCCCACGTTTAAGTGAGATCATGCAGGATGTGCCTTTCTCTGTCAGGCTTAGTTCACTTAATGTCAGGTTCTACAGGTTTATCTATGTTGTCACAAATGGCAGTATTTTCTTCTTTTTAAAGGCTGAACAATATACCATTGTTATACACATGCCACATTTTCCTTACCATTCATCTCTCAGTGGATATTTAGGTTGTTTCCACATCTCGGTTATTCTGAATAAGTTGCAGTAAACTTAAGAGTGCAGAGATCTCTTTAATAAACTGATTTTATTTCCATTGGCTCTATACCCAGAAGTGGGAGACCTGGATCTTTCTTTTTCTTTTTTCTTTTAAACTTTATTTATTTATTTTGAGAGAGAGAGGGAGGAAGGGAGAGAGGGAGAGATAGAGAAAGGGAGAGAGAGAATTCCAAGCAGACTCTGCACTGTCAGTGCAGAGCCTGACATGGGGCTTGATCTCACAAATGGTTAGCTAAAATCAAAAGTCAGATGCTTCACCGACTGAACTGGGATAGCTGGATATTAAGGTAGTTCTATTTTTGATTTTTTAGGAAATCTCCATATTTTTTTTACATAAGGTTTATAAGGGCAATTTTAAATGGAGGATTAAACCTGTACTCTCTGCCAAAATACACACACACACAACATTAAAGGAAGTCTTTTTAGTTGTATAAAAGTCCCCAAGGATAAAGATGACAACAATGACAATATTTTAGAAACTAGGAAGTTTATTGACAAGTGGTACCTTACCTAGGACATTGGAAAGTTGATATCTAGGTCCAGAAGCAACCTGGTTCGCTCTGCCCAAGAACCCAAGAAAGGTCCAGAAAGTAAAGGTGCCAGGCACCCCTGGAAGTAGAAATGTAGCAGATAGGAAAATCAGTTACAGATATATTTAAAAAGTAACCAGATCCTTGGCCCATTCCCTCATCCTCTGTCTCTCCCCTACCATGACACAAGACCAGGGATTCCCTCTGTAAAGAGATTGAATTAAGGTCTTTATGGTCTTAGGGACATTGGACATCACTGAAGATGAATTCCCTACTATTAACAGGGATATGTGTGTGTTTGTGTGTGTTTTAAGTCTACCTACTTAAAAATGTATGCCTCCTTGGGGTTCCTGGGTGGCTCAGCTGGTTAAGCATCTGACTCTTGACTTCGGCTTAGGTCATGATCTAGGGGTCAGGGGATCAAGTCCCACAATGGGCTCTGCACTAAGTATGGAGTCTGCTTAAGATTCTCTCTCTCTCTCTGCCCTTCTCCCTGACTTATGTTCTCTCTCTCTCTCCCATATATATATATATATATGGGGTGCCTGGGTGGCTCAGTCAGTTGAGTGTCCAACTTCAGCTCAGGTCATGATCTCGTGGTTCATGAGTTTGAGCCCCATGCTGGGCTGTGTTGACAGCTCAGAGCCTGGAGCCTGCTTCAGGTTCTGTGTCTCCCTCTCTTTCTGCTCCTCCCCCATTTTTACTCTGCTCTCTCTCTCTCTCAAAAATAAACATTAAAAATTTTTTAAATAAAATAAAATAAGATAAATATATGCACCCTTCTTCCCCAGGAAGATGGCAGAAGGTAGGAGTTGACCAAAGGGTTCCTCGTTGGAGGAACTGACTGATGAAGAGAGAAATTCCAGATGCTCCAAGTGGCAGTAGGCTAAATAATGGCCATCCAAAGGCTCTGATCGTAGAAGCCTATAATTGCTACCCTTATAAGGAAAAAAAAGAGCCTTTGCAGATGTGATTGATTAAGGATCTTGAGGTGGGACAGTCGTCCTAGATTATGTGGGTGGGCCCTAATTGCCTTCACAAGGATCCTCATCAGAGGCAGGTGGAGGGAGCTGCTATACACAGAGAGGAGGAGGCAGTGTGAACCCACATAGAGGTTGAAGATATGTGACCACAAGTAAAGGAATTCTGACAGCCTCCAGAAGCCAGAAGAGGCAAGGAACAGATTCTCCCCTAGAGCCTCTGGAAGGAGCATGGCTCTGCAGACAGCTTGATTTCAGTCCAGGATAGGGTACTGATTTCGGACGTTCAGCCCTCAGAGCTGTGAGAAAATAAACTTCTGTTATTTTAAGCCACCAAGTTTGTGTCAGTTTGTGACAGCAGCGACAGGGACCGATACCCAGTGAAACGTGCAAGCCAGTCACTCCCCCAAGGGATAAGATCTACAGAGAGCTTCTCATCGGCTTTGTAATGTCCCAGTCATAAAATATGAACAGCTAGCCAAGAATCAACAAATGCTTGAGAAAAGATTCTAATCTAAAGGAAACAAATATATAAAGAGGAACTTGGAGGAAGAAAAATGCAGAAAGCTTAGGAAAACTTCTAAAAACTAGAATATCATGAGAAAGATGAATTGTTGCAACCATAATCTGAAGACAAAAGATTGTTGAAAACAAGGTTTTCAGAGAAAAAAGTTCTTAGAAATAGAAATATGAGAGAGCCCTCAAGGAGATGGAGCATTAGTCTCCTGAAGCTTGTGTGAACAGCACACAGCAACATCAGGTCAGATGATCAAGGTCAATTATCAATAGTGATATATCATGTTGATAGCATGTGCCCTTGATACGATGTGATAAATATGACGTTTGACCTCTGTGGTTTTTTTCCCACCCCAACAACTCTAATCTAATCATAAGAAAGCAGACAAATCTCAAATAGACATTCTGCTAAAGCCCTGACCAATACTCCTCAAAACTGTCAAGGTCGTCAAAAACAAGGAAAGCCTGAGAAGTCACCAAAGTCAAGAGTAGCCTAAGGAAATTATATGACAATTACATATAATGTGATATTCTAACGGGGATCTGGAACATAAAAAGTAAAGTCAGCAAAAGCTAAGGAAATCTGAATAAACTATAGGTTTTAGTTAATAATGATGACTTAATATTGGCTCATTAATTGTAACAAATATACCATACTAATGTAAGAGGCTAAAAATAGGGTAAACTGAATGTGAAGTATGTGGGAACTCTATTATCTTCATCATTTATTTACAATCTAACATTGTTAAGAAAATAGTCTATATTTTAATATGATAATAGGTATGTAAAAGTAACAGAAAGGGTGGAAGTCAGAGTTGAATAAATCTTCTAGAAAATAAAACAACTATGAGCCAATAGGATATATAGGAAAGGAAAAGAAGATTAGGTCATTCTAAGAGGATTAAACCATTAGATCCAACCATCTGGCAAATGGGAGTCCCAGAAAGAATGAACAGAAGAAGTGAAGAGAATAAACATATCAAAGAAATAATTCAAGATTTTCCAGAACAGAAAGGCGTATATTTCCAGAATAAAAGTGTCCACCAAGTGCCAAGCACGGTGGATAAAAAGAGCCACACAAAAGCACATCGTCATGAAATTTCAGACCAGTGGTGATCAAGATTTTGCAAGCCTCCAAGGAAAAAAATAAAATAATAATAGTAAAAAATGATCAGAGATTTAAAAAAAAATAGAGACTCCAAATGGTATCAAATTTCTCAGTAGCAACACAGGAAATGGAGAAGACAATGGACAGACATCCTCCAAACTGTGAAACATGTCACAAGATGGAGGAGTCACAATGATCAGAGTCCCCTTTTTGACCCAGGTTTTGACAATGTGACCAGGAGCCTTTGTTCTTTTAAGTCACTGAAATCTGACTTATCCGAACCCAGTGTGTCTTTGGATCAGCAGCACCAGCAACACCTGAGACTTGTTAGAAATGCAGGTGCTTAGCCCCCACCTCAGGCCTAATGGAACAGGCGCTCCGGGGTGGGGCCCAGCAATCTGTGTTGTAAGGAGCCCTCCAGGTGAGTCCATGTGCACCAAAGTTAGAGCGTCACCAACTACCCTAGCCAGATGCAGATAGTAAGTTCGGTAATTAGGTAACCGTCCTGAACATGTCTATCCTGTGGCCCAGCAATTCCACTTCCAAGTGTCTCCCTTAAATGTTGACAAAAAATGGACTTGGACAAGGCTGTTCATTTGCAACATTGTTTATAATGGAGAAAAAGCAAAAACAACCTAAGTATCCCTCAAACGGGGGATGGAAAATAAATGGTGGTTTACTGATATCATGGAAAACTATTTAGCAATATAAAAGAACACACTAAACCTGCATGAATCAACATGGATAAATCTCTAGGCAACCCTTACTGAAAAAAAGACAAGTTCCAGAAAGGGGTGGGGATACATTATCCATAATTTTACAATACAAAAGTCAAGTCTGTAACACAGATTCTTTATTGTTTATGCTTTCACACATTGCAGAAACTGTAAAAGCATAGATGAGAAGGCTACATTCCAACTTCAGTGGGGGAAGGGGAGGGAGGAAAGGAGGAATGGAGGGAGGGCGGGACTTAACTGTACGTATTTTTTGTCTTCAAAAAGAAAAGGAGACCAGACACAAATAAGACAAAAATTTAACATCTAGGTTCAAAATTATATATTATATTACCTTTCCGTTTTAAAGCTTACATTATTTCCTAATTGAAATGATTAAAGACACAGATAAATTGTATAACCTCAGATACTGATGAGTGCCATGGAGACAAAAAAAGCAGAGGATAAAGAGTGTGGGAGGGAGGGGCCTGAAGGAGGGAAGCTGTTTAGTACAGATGGTGGGGAAGGCTCCATGGAGGAGGTGACGGTTCAATGCCTGAATGGTAGAAAGATGGAAAGATCTGAGAGTGTGAGCCAGGGGGCCAGTGGCAGTTGAGAAAGAAGGGAAAGCAGGGACTAGACATGGAGTGCCCTGGGAACCAGGTTAGGGGATGTGGTTTCTACTCCGTGCACAGTGGGATGCCCCTGAAGGGTTGGAAGCCAGAGATTGACAGGATCTTTAAAAAAAAAAAAAAAAAAAATCACTCTGGCTGCCAATGAAGTGAGACTGGAGTGGGGCCGGTGGAGATGGGTAAACCCTGCCCATTTCTCCATAAGAGAACAGAGAGGCTAGGCTTAGCGGCGGCAGGGGCAGCCATTAGCCGTGATAGGATCCAAGCTGTGTCTTGCGAATGGACAAGATTGCTGAAAGTCAACTGTAAGAGTGGGAGGTGAGGAAAGAGTGAGGTCAAGGACACCTCCTAGGATGGCTGCCGCTGGAGAGAACAGAGGAGATGGGCTGGGTGCGGAAAGAGCTTTTGGACAAGTCCAGTCTGAGATGCCTATTAGATGGGCCAGTGGAGATGCTGAGTGGGCTTCCGGTCTGTGAGTCTCAAGCTCCCAGGAGAACTGCAGGAGACAGTAGAATCAGCTGGCTGGATATTTAAATACATACAGTAACATTTTTGCTGCTGTTGAAGTATAGTTGGCCCATAATGTACAACATAGTGATTGGATGAGTGTACACATTATGCTGTGCTCACCACCAGTGTGGCCACCACCTGTCGCCACACAACGCTATTACAGCCCCGCTGACTATATTCCCTGTGCTCTTCCTTTCATCCCCTTGACTTACCCATTCCAAAAGCCCGATGCACTTCTGGTTCCCATTTTTCCAAAAACTGTGCTCCAGGTATGAATAGAGGAAAATAAAATGTAACTTTTAAAAGACCGATAAGCACAGCACAATTCATGATTTTAACATCTTGCCACCGTATTATCTTCACTGATTCAAATTCTTAACATAATTTAATCAGCAATTAAGAAGGAAGGAAGTTACAAGAAAGAAGAATATTTTTTTTAAATACTTGTTTTTATTTGACTTTGAATGCTTTGGTGCAAAGCCACAGCCTCATTGCTCCTACTTAGGACACGCTTATACGTGATTAAAGAACCGTCTGGCACACAAAATATAAATTTACTTTATCTGTAGGGTTTCTAGATAAAGTAAAAGACGACCAGTTAAAACTGGATTTCAGATGAACAGTGAATAATTTTTTTTAGTATAAGTAAAACCCAGGCAATATTTGGGATATACTTTTATTTTTTAAATGTTTTATTTATTTCTAGGAGAGAGAGAGAGAGAGAGACAGCGTGAGCAGGGGAGGGTCAGAGAGAGAGGGAGTCACAGACTGAAACAGGCTCCAGGCTCCGAGCTGGCAGTCAGCACAGAGCCCGACGCGGGGCTCGAACCCACGAACCGCGAGATCATGACCTAAGCGAAAGTCGGACCCTTAACCGACTAAGCCACCCAGGCGCCCCAGGATATACTTTTATTTTAAAAGCATTTCTTATTTGTCTGGGACAAATTTAACTGAATTTCCTGTATGGTTACTTGCCAAATTTTATAGAAAATAAGTATCTATTTGCCATCTAAGATGCTGCTTCTTTCAAAGGATACTACCATCTATTTCTCTAGCTACCTGGACAGGCAGAAAGAAGATAGCTGGAATTCATTATGACTTGCTGCTAGGGTTTTTGCATGATTTTGCTTATTTTGTTTTGCCTTGGGGGAAGGCAGACCGAGAAGAATAATATATGCACCAGGCAATTTGTAGTTAGCAGAATCGAGAGATCTAATAATGTATTCCAGTCTGTCTCAGATTAATTGTATAATAACCTCTGCTTTAGATTTCTCACCCGAAAAGTATGGAAAATATCTTTTCCCAATGCTCCTCACAAGAATCTTTGAAATTTCACCAAGATGATGTACTTTTTCCCCCCCTTAGGAGATGGAGGAGCTATAGTTCTGTATAATTTTTGATAGAATATATAACATCTGAAAACTACACCCAGATACAAAAACAAGGATAGACCCTTTTTCTTTTTTCTTTCTTTCTTCTTTTTTTTTTTTTTTTTTTGCCAAAAAGCTAATTAAGAAATTAAAGGTTAAAATAAAAATTTTAGTCAAAATATGAAAGATGATGATTCTGGAACATGATAGCATCATTTTAAAGTTTATTTAAAACAAGGGGACCTGTTGAGAATCCAACTCTTGGTTTCAGCTCAGGTCATGATCTCACAGTTTGTGAGTTCGAGCCCCACATCAGGCTCTGCACTGACAGCTCAGATCCTGCTTGGGATTCTCTCTCTCTCCCTCTCTCTTTCTTTCCCTGACTTGCACTCATGCAATTTCACTCTCTCAAAATGAATATAAACATTAAAAAAATAAAAATAAATAAAGTTCATTTAAAACAAATTAATCAATGAGAATTCAACTACATTTCTTTAAAAAGACAAATAAGGGATGCCTGGGTGGCTCAGTCAGTTAAGCATTCAACTTAGGCTCAGGTCATGATCTCACGGTTCGTGGGTTCAAGCCCTGCACTGGGCTCTGTGCTGACAGTTAGCTTAGAGCCTAGAGCCTGCTTCAGATTCTGTATCTCCCTCTCTCTCTGCCCCTCTCCTGCTCACGCTGCCCCCCTCTCTCTCTCAGAAATAAATAAAAGATTTTTTTTTAATTTTTTAATAAAATAAATAAAAAGACAAATAAGGAAAAAGTGCCCTACCAGATACTGCAACATAAATACACACAACGTAACACAGAATGGTATCATGCAAGGAGCAGGCAAATAGATGAAGTGAATAGAGACCCCAGAAACAGACGTGTTTTTACTCACAAGCCAATAGTAAGGGGGAAATTATTCTATGAATGGTATTAGAAGATTGGTTGTTTGCAAATGATTCAATGTAGACCCTTACCTCACACCATATACCAAACTAAGTTCTCAAATCCAGCTTGAGAGGACGAACAAATACAACTTAGAAGAAAACAGCAAATACCCACCTAATCTTTGGTGAAGGGAGGATTGTATAATCTATAAAACGGATAGAGGAAATCACAAAATCTTAAAAAATAGATTTGACTACCTAAAAATAAAAATCTTTGGTATGCAAAAAGCAGAATTAGAAAGCAACCAATAGAATTATTTCAATTTTGGATAAAGATTAACATCTCTGATAAAGTACATCTACAAATAAAAGAGAAAATTAATAAGTACCAAAACAATATGTAGGTACAAATGGGCAAAAAAACTATAAACAATTATAGGGGGTAAAGGAAGGGAATCAATAAATAGAGAAAACAGTCAACTGTGTTCAATATCAAGTCAATAAATATAATTTAAAAGATGCTACCATTTTTTTTTACCTTAAAATCAGTAAGAATTCTCATTTTTGATAGGAATACTCAATGTTGGGGAGAGTATGTGCTGCATTCTCGCATAGTGCTATTCAATGATTAGAATGACACGTTTGGAAGTGTGGAAGGAGACAAAATGTGCGAAGAACCTTTTGGTGTTCGTATTCTTTTGATCTAGTAGTTTTATCAGAATTATCCTAGATTTTACTAGCTTATCTTAATCCCAAATTTGAAGAATTTGTCCTAAGCAAATTGTCCTTTAAAAAAAATGCTCAAAGATGTTCATCACAGTCTTTTAAATATTCTAAAAATTGAAAACAATACGAAAATGAAAAGGCAAATTGTGGCACAACTACTTAAGGGAACGTTTTGTGGCCATTTCAAATCTATATGAAAATATTTATGCTATAATGGAAACTGCAGAAACAGTCAAGATTCAAAATTGCATATTAAATATAACCGCAATTATGTAAAAAAAAAATCTAAGTACAGGAACTTGACTGGAACAAAAAAAGAACATGCTAACAATGGTTATCTTTTTACGGAGCATTGCATGTGGCTACTTCCTCGTTCTTTCTGTTGTTGTTCTCCATATTAAGAATTCCCAACTGTGGGGAAATGTGTCATAAAAGACTCAAGTTTGATATCTGTATGCATATGTCTGTGTGTGTCCCTGTGTGTATGTGTATATATCTGTGTACATGTGCGTGTGTGCACGTGTCTGTGTCCATATCATATCTTCTGTCCTGTGCGCAGGTCCTTTGGAGTGCTGCTGTGGGAAATATTTTCTCTTGGATACATGCCGTACCCTAGCAAAAGCAACCAGGAAGTTCTGGAGTTCGTCACCAGCGGAGGACGGATGGACCCACCTAAGAACTGCCCTGGACCCGTGTACGACTCTTTTAGGAATATTTCTACAAGTCACTAAGGACGCTTTTCCTTTTCAAAAAATATTTCAGCCATGTATGCTTTTTTGTTTCAAGACAAAGGGGCAGATAGCTGACCTCATTTAATATGGCCCAGGATAGGAGTGTGGCTGTGACTTCCATGAGGAGGGTTAATCCTCCAGCCCCTCGAAAGCAGTGATGTCATGACTGAAAAGTTATCTCCTGTCTGACCGGAGGCTGCGGACTCACCAGGCTTACACACCCCCAGCCTCGTGGGAATCTGTGTCCCGAACTCCACCCCAGCTGCCCTATGCCATCTGTTTTAAGTCTCCTTTAAATATCCATTCCCTGCATTTTCTGCTGTCTTGTCGGGCATCCCTCACCTCCTTCCCACAAGCAAGGCGGATGGGAAATATAATTAGAATATTCTTCCCCAGAGGTGACTTCAGTTCAGAAATGGAATGAGAGGAGCCATATTTCATGTAAACAGGACATCTGTTAATGAGCTTTGGTGTTCTAATACCCTTACACCTGGGCACGATCCCTTAGCCCATCGGCAGAGGGCGGCATGTGCCAACCACATGGAACATAGATGAGTTGTCACTCTCCAAGATAGTGCCACCTCTGGTCCCCCCTTCATGGGGATGAGCACTGGGTGTTATGTGGAAACTAATTTGACAATAAACTATTTGTAAAAAAAAAAAAAAAAAACAACTGTGAAGGCAAAAAAAAAAAAAAAGAAAAAAGTGCTGGGGAGGGGCACCTGGGTGGCTTAGTCGGTTAAGCGTCCGACTTTTGCTTAGGTCATGATCTCGCAGTTCGTGGGTTCGAGCCCCGCATCGGGCTCTGTGCTGACTGCCAGCTCAGAGCCTGGAGCCTGTTTCAGTCTGTGACTCGTTCTCTCTCTGACCCTCCCCTGCTCACACTGTCTCTCTCTCTCTCCTAGAAATAAATAAAAAACATTAAAAAAAAAAAAAGAAAAGTGCTAGGGAAACTATTTTTCATCCTTGTTTCTCCTGGTTTTAATTAGTGTGTTTACTTCTTCTTTTAGCTACCGGATAATGACCCAGTGCTGGCAGCATCAGCCCGAAGATAGGCCCAACTTTGCCATAATTTTGGAGAGGATTGAATACTGCACCCAGGTATAAACACTTTTCCCTTTGACCAGCATTCATATGGAAAAGATGGCAAATACCAACATGTGAAATGAAAGCTAAACCAGCCAGAGAACATGAGTTGCGATCGCGAGAATGATTGGTTATGAAGTAAAATGACTAGTGCCTCAGTTTACCCATTTTGTAGATAAATGCTAGTTACTGCCTCTTCCTTCACCAACACATGACATGGTTGCAGTCCATGATATTAGAGAATCAGGACTCACAGGTGTTAACTCAATCCCCACAGGTCACTAACGGTTTTTTAGACAAAACTGGAGCTTCAGAGAAGTATCGGAAACACCTCCTCTCAAACAGTTGATGGTGTGGCTAGAGAAATACTCATGTGAAACAATGCCTGTATATAATTGTTAGATTGTATGCCCGATGACCTGTATTAGAGGGATTCAAGGGAAGAACAAGGTCTGGAAAAATCTTTAACATCATCAATAGCATTAGTACAGCATCTGTAACACACAAGTCACTTTTTTTTTAAATGTTTTTATTTATTTCTAGGAGAGAGAGAGAGACAGTGTGAGCAGGGGAGGGTCAGAGAGAGAGGGAGTCACAGACTGAAACAGGCTCCAGGCTCTGAGCTGGCAGTCAGCACAGAGCCCGACGCGGGGCTCGAACCCATGAACTGCGAGATCATGACCTAAGCGAAAGTCGGACGCTTAACTGACTAAGCCACCCCGGCGCCCCACAAATCACTTTTCATGTATTGCATTTTATCTTCAGTGAGGTACATAAACTATCCCCACTTTCCAGATGGGTGGGGAAACCTCTCCAGGCCACACAGCTTCCTCGCAGTTCCGTTGGTGCTTATGCGGCTCCTTCCCCCGTTTCCTTCAGAAGGGACTCTAAATTCTCCGTTTTCTACCCGCTTCTAGAAGACTATACCTCCTACCTCAAGAGAGGAGAGTCTGAGAATTCATTCCCCACCCCACCCCCACCCCCATCTAGGCATTTACACCCAGTCTCACCCCCTTCCCCATGTGTCAGGGGAGGTGGAGCCCACCAGCTGCGTGGTGCCCCCGTCGTCCCCCAGGAGCCCCTCCACCTGCACCACCAGCTGCATGGTGCCCCCCTCGCCCCCCAGGAGCCCCTCCACCTGCACCACCAGCTGCATGGTGCCCCCCTCGCCCCCCAGGAGCCCCTCCACCTGCACCACCAGCTGATCCTTCAGGGACGTTCCCTCCCTGTGCAGTGTCTCCTCCCCACACATCTTTCCCTCTCTCGGCTCTCATTCTGCCAGGATATCTAACTCTGCAGAGTATTTGAGATGTCGGACAATGAGCCACCACCTCTCTCAATCACCTTAGCTGTGACGCATACATGTTCAAGCCACATCCTTCATTCCCAGCACCAGGGTCTCACCCTTCCAGCAACTTCAGCTCAAAAGTGAGGGCACTGGCATGTATCTACATGGACTTCATTTATCAAGTTATTTGGGGTACTTTCAGAAAACGTGGTGTTCGGTGAATGGGTGAATGGTATTTTAAGTTATTACATTGTAATACTAATGGAATACACCCACTTAAATACACACACACACACACACACACACACACACACACAAACACACACACACAACTTTGGAGTAACTTGTCTCCAAAGTATATAACATCCCTCGTTAAAGCAGGTAATTGTGTACAAGCATATTTTCAATGACTCCCCATAGAGATTAATAATTAACAGGGAAAGAACTAAAGAATAAGAGAACCAGAATGTAGTTATTTTTTATTCTTACACTCCTTGTTGACGAATACTGGATCAATGTGCTATTCTGCGAAACTGAAGCAATGGCTTTCCCAATTTGCATAAAATATTAAAGAATTAAATTCCCCCAAGTTTAAGCTTCCTTCCACAAATTTTCTTCCAATCTCTGGCAACTGTCTCTGCCTATTTACAATCCATTGCTATAAAAATGATATAGCACAGAGTCGGTTTTGTAAGTGGTTTTCCTCATCACTGCAGCATTTCGTGGGGTTCACAAAGGCCCTGAGCGTATCCAGGCCAGATAAAGAACCATGTGTTATCTGTACATATGAAAATGTAACAGGGGAAAGTTATAATCAAGTGCACACGCACACACACACACACACATACACACACAAAGTCAGACACAGACTTTTTTTTTTTCGTTGAAGGATTTTATTGGGAATAGACTGGAATAATTTTTTAAACCAATTTATATAGTTTTTTAAATCTGTGAATCTGTAAGGTTTGCTCAAAGGTGCTCTCCGCATAGCCTGTCCTGATCCCTCTCCTGCGACGTTTCTATACGAGGGCTTCCCCTGCCAGCTCTTCCGGGACGGGGACGATCCCATACACTTCCTATTCCTCGCTGCCTAGGAGTTAATATATTCCCAATATATTAACTGAATGGTTTCCTCATCTATAAAGTAAGTTTGGACGAGACCGTCGCTAAGGGATCTTCCAGATCCAACAATTCTGGTCTGTGATTCAGCATCTTAATCACTTTGTTTCTCCCACCTGTAGGACCCAGATGTGATCAACACTGCTTTGCCCATAGAATACGGCCCACTCATGGAAGAGGAAGAGAAGGTGCCCATGAGGCCCCAAGACCCAGAGGGGATCCCTCCTCTCCTAGTCTCTCCTCCACAAGCTAAACGGGAGGAAGGGCAGGATCCAGCCGCCCCGCCCCCTCTGCCTTCCACTTCCTCTGGCAAAGCCTCCAAGAAGCCCACGGCTGCAGAGCTCTCTGTTCACATCACCAGAGGGCCCGCCGTGGAAGGGGGACACGTGAATATGGCATTCTCTCAGTCCAACCCGCCGTCCGAGCTGCACAAAGTCCAGGGATCCAGAAACAAACCCACCAGCCTGTGGAACCCAACTTACGGCTCGTGGTTTACAGAGAAACCCACCAAAAAGAACAATCCCCCGGCAAAGAAGGAGCCCCGAGAGAGGGGAAACCTGGGGCGGGAGGGAGGCTGTGCCGCCCCACCGAATGCTGCACCGGCCAGACTTCCAGGCGCCTCTCTGCTCCTAGAACCGTCCTCGCTGACTGCCAACATGAAGGAAGTGCCTCTGTTCAGGCTACGTCACTTCCCGTGTGGAAACGTCAACTATGGCTACCAGCAGCAGGGCTTACCTTTAGAGGCCACCACTGCCCCCGGAACCGGTCATTACGAGGACGCCATTCTGAAAAACCCGCCTGGGCCCTGAGCCCAGCGGCGCTCGTTTATCTTCCTTGGGAGCCCTGAGCCCGTGGAGGAGGGACAGGGAGTGGCTCCCCTACAACCAGAGACCAAATGTCACTTTTCATTTTGTGCCAACTGGTTTCGAAGTGCCACAGAAACAGCTATATTTTCAAAATGCTTTCGGGAAAGGTATCGAGCATGGGTTCATCTCATTCTTTCAAAAGAAGAAAATATCCTAAAGACGAGTGATAAACACGAGGGCCCCGATTTGGTGGCATTTGATGCACACTTCCTCCCGCTTCTCTCGAACTGTGTGTGCCCTGTCTCAGTGCGGTCAGAACTCGCTGCTTCTGTGTCTCATAGTCGGAGTCGTGGGTGTCTCCGTACCTCGTTGATGTGGACCGGGACCACTTGAAGGGAGGGGAGGGAACAGATATAAAGGAGTTACTTGTAGTGAGCTGGCGTGGGGAAAGGCATTCATTCTTTACCGGGCAAGGAAAAATCAGAGACAACTAACTGAAATGTCCCTTTAGATGATGTCCGGATGCTTTCGATTGAGCTGATTCAACGATGATTGTAAAAAAAAAAAAAAAAAAGTGAATAGTTACGCTACTATAAAGAAAAATTTGAATATACTCATGGGAATGAAAAGCAGGTATTCAGCGTACTTTGAGTATGATACAAAGCACTGTATGTACAGATCCAGAGATTCAGACATCCTGCTAATATACCTCATGCCTTAAGAAAACCCTCCTACGAATAGGGAAACGACTGAGTGTGAGGATTCCTACTGGATTGAAAACTCAAGATTTGCATTCTTACTTAATTTAAAACTTTCCACTGATGAAAATAAACTCTGATCATTTAAAAGCAAAAATCTTAAGCAGCAGTGATACAGTGAAACCTAGAAACCCATCCCTTCATGGGCCTAAGTATCAATACACCCCCGGCCAAAACCTTCCAGCAGTTTCCATTATGAAGGTTACCACACTGACGTGTCCACCTGCAAGTGACAGGCGGGTCACTGGAGTAACGAGCCCTCGGTGGGCCTGAGGAGGGGTGCACTGTCCTCCCTTCCAGTGTTCACCTACATTCGTCCCCATGCGTCATGTGATCCCAGGGGACAAGGGGACACAGATTTGCTCAAACATACACAGCATCATGTGTATAGCTACCAAACGCAGACCGAAACACAGAATTCTTCTTTTGGGGGGCGAGGAGGAGAGGGGCTGCAGGGCAGTGGTGTGCGGAGACACACTGGCATTATCTTGGGGGCTCCGAACTGGGTTTTCACACGTGACATTTATTTCCAGGAAAATGAATTGGGGACCTGTTGAATTTGACCCATACTTACACCACAGTGCTTTCTCAGTCCTGCTTCCTTCCTTCCTGGCGGTAGCTGTGCCAAAACATTGCTTTGGGAGGAGAGTATTTTCCATTCCTTGCTGGCTTCCGAGCATTCCCGAGCAAAAGGACTGTATGTATGTATATAGCCACCTTTCCCCCCACCTGCCCACTTCTGCCTACATCACGAGTATCACTTTGGATGTGGGAAAGCCATTCTGCTCTAGGCCAATGCTGGACAAGTGTCCGTTCTTTCTACGGCAGATGCCTTGCCCTACTCAGTGGTTCTGCACATCTGAGACCCTGAACACCACTTTTCCTTTACCTTAACTGCCAGGAATTCCAGTACAGTTCTGGCTCAGGCCAGGTACAAAAGTCAACAGTCCAGTTCTATAAACAGTAATCTAACTCATAAACCAAGGGGCCCAAGAAGGATTCTTTGAGAAACACTCTCCTAAAGGATAATGACAGGGGAGCTGACAAAAACGGAGAAGAACAATTTCATTTTAGATCCGTAACACCAGTAACCAGTTAAACAGGGAGCATGCTACATGGCTAAACAGCCAACTCTTTATCATCATTAATGGGCGGGGGCGGGGGAGGGGGGGAGGGGGCGGAAACTGTATCCCTGTCTCTTCTTATAAACTATAAACCCATTACATTTTCAGGTCGTGCCTTACTACCACTGAGTTTGATTTGCTGATTCTAATTGTCTTCATTGGTATCAGTTTTCATGTAAATGATAGTCAAGTCTTAAAAGCCTGTATATGTGGATAAGTAAATAAACACCTCCACACTGAGATATGATGACCTTAAGATGTTTCATTTAATTCACTGTAGGGGCGCCTGGGTGGCTTAGTCGGTTGAGCGTCCGACTTTCGCTTAGGTCATTATCTCGCGGTTCGTGGGTTCGAGCCCCGCGTCGGGCTCTGTGCTGACTGCCAGCTCAGAGCCTGGAGCCTGTTTCAGTCTGTGACTCCCTTTCTCTCTCACCCTCCCCTGCTTACGCTGTCTCTCTCTCTCTCCTAGAAATAAATTTAAAAAAACATTAAAAAAAATTTAATTCACTGTAAGCCCCAGGTATCACCACGAAATTAATCTGAACGATTGTCTACTCAGTATTGCCCCAGCCATGTGGCTGCGGCAGTTCATACAGATGCTATGGATGCTCCCATTTACTGACTATGATAGAAGAGTCCTACCTAGACCATGAACAGGCACAATGAGAGCTTAGAGAAGCCATGTTAATTAAACCATTAGCTAGAATACCTTATTTGTATTCCATATCTAGAAGGAAGCGCACCAAAAGTTCACAACGGCACCATTGGGAAACTGGAAATCTGTAAGGGGATGACCAGTTTAATATGTGGCACCTCAAAACTGTAGCAAATCAAAAGAGCGGGAATAAAAGAAACCTAATTTTTCTTAAAGAGTAGTCAAAAGACTGGATTCTCTCCTACCAGTGAGGATGTGAGTTCCGGGTCTCCTTGGGGTATCAGATCTGCCTGGACCTCAGCACCTCCGTGTACAATGGGGAGAATGGCTTCCCTTCCTCGCTGCCTCTCAGGGAGATTACCAAGTGTATATAAGCACAAGCACGTGCTCGTTATGCCTCCTCAATTCCCAAGTGATTTGGGCGGGGTGTGGGGACAAGTTTCAAAGTCGGAATGTGCCTCTGTGTCCTCGCCCTTGTACCCACCCCCTGGGCCTCCTGGTTCTCTTGTTTGTATCGTGTTCGGTTTCAACTGTCACTTGTTTAGGAACTGTAGCAAGAACCTACTAGAGCCCAGTCCTTTCCAACTCAAAAGACTATGAAGACTCTACCACACTTAGAACTCGGTTTAAATGGTAAACACCAAAGAAAGGAAGACATTTCAACAGTCTGAGTAATTTTTAAAAAATTCTCTAGCTTCTTCATATAGTACTTGGCAAGCTTTATGGCTATAAGAGATGATATAACTGCAGATTAACTTTACTCCACTGAGAAATTCTAAGTGATCAAGCTACTTTAATAGATTCTCTCCAGTAAGAGCAGGATTAACATTCACATGAGCTTCGTTCAGACTACCCTTGATAACAGACTCCCCATGACAAGATTCATAAAGCCGTATGAAGTGTGTTGTCAATCTGTCTTTAGCTAATGACTCTTTAAATGGGTCCCCGAAGAACATACAATTTGACTTTGCTAAGTTCACTGCAGCAGATGGGCCCATGTTGTGCGAACATGCAAAACAAAACCCAGCATTCCCATCATCCTCCACAGGATGCCCTAAAATAAAAGAGAATTATTGAGAACAAACAGTAATGCTTCTATTAAGATTTTGTTTTCCTTTGGTATCCTGAGTAGGTGTATTGAACTTTTAATGTGTTACCCAAGCACAAAGCTATTTGTAGCTCTAACTTAACTTTGGAACACTGGAAAAGTTCAGGGTAAGAACAGATTATTACCTACAGTGGAGGTGGGGGGCAGGAAGGAACGTGAACTCTAACCACAAAACGAAAACAATGACTTCCCCGCTCTTCAGTATCCAGTAAATGAAAAACAAGTGCTACCCTTCCATGTAAAGGTGCACTACCTGGCTAACCTCAGAAAGACCGCAAGCGCCAAAGTCTGTATGCAGTGCTGGCCCCATGTCCACTTCTCAGCTGCCTCTGTTGCACACTCTCTAGCTATCTCCCTTACTCCATCTCTCTACCAAGGCTACTGCCTCCCTATCATCACTCCAATGCTCGCCCATAGGCACATGTCCACTGATATTAGTTGAAAGGTAGTCATTAAATGAACTCCCACTAAGTTTCAGCAACTAGTGTATGTTGCTAGATACTAGAATATTTACATTTTAATATTTGCCAATATAGATGAATATCAGATGGATGAAACTTCAGAGGATTATAATATTTTGGCTAGTTTAGCTCTCAGTGCCTCCTTGAGAGATGGCAAGCAGACTAAGCAGCCGCTAAGAGACCCAGGTGCAATTACCTACCCCTGTGACTCAAGCAAGTTACGTGAACCCTCACTTTTTCATTTAATAATATGAGACTTCACCTCTGTGCAAGGCAAATCCCAACACCCGGCCCCAAATCCATAGGACAGGACTGGTGTGTGTGCACATGTGTGTGCTTTTCTTTAATCTTGACACCTTGACTCCTAATGCATTGAGAGCCAAAGCCAATTAATTTGGTGTGCCATCCCAGTGAGCCAAATTATGCTTAGTCTTTATACAGAAGTAGACCGGAAAGAAGTGTAGTCTCAGTTCTGTTTATTCTTTCTATTCCAAGATCTCTTTAGCAAATCAGAAAATTAGCAAAGATGACAAAAACTGAGGACTGATGGATGTGGGGGGGAGGGGGGATGGGCATGGAGGAGGGCACTTGTGGGGATGAGCACTGGGTGTTATGTGGAAAATAATTTGACAATAAACTATTTGTAAANTGGGCATGGAGGAGGGCACTTGTGGGGATGAGCACTGGGTGTTATGTGGAAAATAATTTGACAATAAACTATTTGTAAAAAAAAAAAAAAAAAAAAAAAAAGAAAATTAGCAAAGAAAGTTAATCGGGTAGTTTCCCGAAAGCAACAAAGCGCAGGACTATGAGAATCACGTCCATCGAATGACTTTCACGCCTTCGGTGCCACACCACTCGTTTCTCTTATGTCTGCTACAACTGCAGACTTATGGGCAAAGAAGAATCATAAAACTTATCTTTGAAAGGTTCTCTTTTCGCCACACCTGATATTTCACGATAGGGCTGATGCACTTCCTGTCCACTGTCAATTTGCCCCTCCCACTCTCCACTCCCAGAGCCATAGAACAAAGCCCAGAATAAGCCACAAGTTTGGGACCTGGAGGTGTCTGCCGAGTCAGGCAGCCCCAAACAAGTGTGATAAGGAATTTATTGATAACGGGAGTTTCTCTCCCAACTACAGAGGATTGGACTGAATCCCCCTTGTCAGGTTTATAGACACACGTACTGTTACTGGATAGCAAGTGTTTGAAACCTGTTGGAAATAGTACAGCTTTACAGTGCATCTAGAAATAGGGAATCTCCAAAGAGAGCCAATTCAAATGTCCTACCGAAAGATGACATTGTGAAGACCGCAGGCAAATTTTTCTACATTTTTAGTACCTCTAATCCTTGAGAAAAAAAGTTTAAACCCTTTTGCATTATTTCAAATACTATTAATATAGTATTTTGCTGCTCTCAGAAGAAATAGAATAATATTAAAGGCAGATTCTTTTTGTGCACATATGCAGCAGGAGCA